CTCGGATTTGTTAGTTAGTTGAATTCTGTGATTGTTTTAATTCATGTTACACACGGATAATGAAATACCGAAAGATAGAAACATGCTTTACTGTGTAGCTCCTTTAGCAAGTATTATCTTCCTGTTCTGTTAAAATAGTTAGGATTGTGTTAAAGCAGTCGTACATCTGTGAAATGACTAAGTGTTAAAAAAGGCACGAATGTTTAAAGAATGTGATTGTCTTGTAGTTGTGGTCCTCCTGTACCTGCCAGTGACATCTGCCGGGTACTTTGTGTACGGTAATACGTTGAATGACAATATATTAAACAACCTTCCATCTGGGGGTCTGTCCTACGCTGTTCTGTTGTTGGTCACCATTCACCTATTGCTAGCCATTGTCATAGTAATCAGCCCAGTTATACAGGAAGTGGAAATGGTACTCCATGTACCAAGAGGTATCTAGATTTATTACGTTTACCAGACAACTGTGTAACATGCACGGAACATAAAGAGATACGATTGCAGCATCTCAAGAAATCCGTCATAAAACAGTGCCTCTCTTACTATTAGCGTTAACCTTAACCGGACTTCTTTATACTGACACAATAGGTACATGTATTCAATGCGGAAGTAAGACTGTACTTACTTACTGTGTTGGATTCACTTACAGGGTGGATTTAATCAATTTCTTCCATTACTCTTGTTAGAACTAGACGCTTGATGAAAATGAAATCAAAGCATAAATACATATTTATAGATCCCGACGTGAAGATCGCACTCTATGATTTTCATAGTAAATATGAGGGGGTATCTACAGAAGAGGCATCAATATGTGATACGCCAATTCTTGTCTGCTGAAATTATGACATTGCCAATAAGCAAATAGAATGAGGCTTACGCGATAGCCATTGAAACTTTACCCACATACCATTCAGTCGTTCCGAAGATGAAATATTATCACTCAATCAGTCATGCTTCAGTATTACATTTATTATGTTGTTAGTTAATAACATGAATAAGGAACTTTCCAAGTGTACATCGGACTCTCCTAAACGTCACAAGAATCCGTTAAACCTACATTTTATTGCTGGTCCGTGTAGCGTTAAAACCAATTTAACCTTTGTCAAATCGTTTCATCGATTTTGCGTTTGGATTATCAAGAGGGTGTCAACTTGGTGGTATTTTTTTGTGTATATATAACTAGAGAGGTAGGTTAACTGTGAAACAAAATAGGTCAAGGAATTTAAAAATTAAAAACATAAAAAAGACGCATTGATAGTTTACCTCAAAGTGCAGTTGTTGTTTACAAAGCAATTACATAATTCACATTTTCTTTATGAAGATTTCACCTGGAAGAGATGTGTAACGAGGCTGCTGGTCGTCGCCTGTGTGTTGTTTGTGGCCGAGACTGTACCAAAGTTCAACTCGTTATTGTCTTTAATTGGTGGATCATCACTGACAATATTGGATTTTATTTGTCCAATATTATTTCATATGAAAATGCATAAACTGAAGGTGGAAGCTTCAGAACAAATCAACGATAACAATCGTTTAGAGGGAGTGCAGGTTTCATGGGATAAAACCATTGAGTACGTATCATTCGGGTGACAGGTTTAGCATTGTCATGGTTATATCACTAATTGAAGGCTAAATCAGGAACAATAATTAACTGGACCAGAATTCTTTAAGACGGTTGGAACTCGGACATTTTACAACTAATAGCTATATCTATCTCTACTTATATCACAGAACACCTTTCTAGGGTAGAGATTATAACTTGGCATCATTGTTATACATGGGCTATACCATTACTCTTTACTGTATTATTTGATATTTTGTGTAAAAAACGGAAACTTTAAACATTTGAAGGAGAAATATTTCAATAATTCAATATATAACTTTCATTTTCAGGATTAGATAATTGTAATAGAATGTCGTTACATGTCTAAATTATTCGGTATGATATGTTCATATTATGGTGTAGTAAAACTATTATCTGCACGTGATGTAGATTATATATATATATATTTGTTTATGTATCATACATATATTATAGGCACATACCGTTGTGGAGAAAGGTACTGAACTACGAGATCCTTGGTCTAGGTGTTGTAGCCGGCGTAGCTGCCTCGGTGTCCGCCATCATCAACATCGTCAGTCCCGATTCTTTCTCCATGCCTTGTTACGTCAACATAAGCAGTGCTGCTACTTAATCCTTGTGTATAGTCCATTATAGAGCAGTGTACATCTTGTATATCATATATCACTGATGATAAAACTAAGTTGAATTTCCCTATGTAGGATGTCAATGGTAGGACAGAGATGATCAATACTTCATCTCATTAATCTACCAAATCACACCAGCTGATCCGGACTTGTCTTCAATATGCTTCTCGTAAATCAAAGAGAGTGTTATTTAATTAAGAAACACTGTAGGAACAAACCAATTTATAGAGCAACATGATGCGTTTTATTATTGATATTTTATTTAAAAGGCATATTTTCGTCACCAGAACTGGATGAGCCTGTTAGCGAACACGATTCGTCTTCAAAACTATGTGCAATTTTGTCTCGGTGATATTGATATGACGACAAACGGACGTATTCTCCACAGTTCTGGTCGGAATTGTTAAAATCTAACGTAATCTACTTTAGTGTTTTATTTCAAACTTTCCTACTTAAGAATAAAGCCGACTCGGCCATGCCTTAGACTGCACACTGTCAATCCTTATTCTTTACCTTTTTGTATAGAACAATAGCTTTTGTTCCTTTTTGTTGCAATTCGAGTTATTACAAAGTTTGTGGTAACAATAATATCATCAAGATTAGGCACTGTTGGTTCATGGTATGTGTTCAAAGGTTAGGTCATGGGTATGTAACAATCATCATAGGTTAGGTCATGGGTACGTGACGGTCAGTACAGGTTAGGTCATGGTTATGTAATAATCATCATAGGTTAGGTCATGGGTATGTAACAGTCATTACAGGTTAGGTCATGGGTATGTAACAATCATCATAGGTTAGGTCATGGGTATGTAACAATCATCATAGGTTAGGTCATGGGTATGTAACAGTCATTACAGGTTAGGTAAGGTATGTAACAATCATCATAGGTTAGGTCATGGGTATGTAACGGTCATTACAGGTTAGGTCATGGTTATGTAACAATCATCATAGGTTAGGTCCTGGGTATGTAACAGTCATTACAGGTTAGGTCATAGGTATGTAACAATCATCATAGGTAAGGTAAGGTATGTAACACTCATCATAGGTTAGGTCATGGGTATGTAACAACCATCATAGGTTAGGTCATCGGTATGTAACAATCATCATAGGTTAGGTCATGGGTACGTAACGGTCATTACAGGGTAGGTCATGGGTGTGTAACGGTCATCATAGGTTAGGTCATAGGTATGTAACAATCATCATAGGTAAGGTCATGGGTATGTAACAATCATCATAGGTTAGGTCATAGGTATGTAACAATCATCATAGGTAAGGTCATGGGTACATAACAATCATCATATTTTAGGTCATGGGTACGTAAAGGTCATCATAGGTTAGGTAAGGTATGTAACAATCATCATAGGTTAGGTAAGGTATGTAACAATCATCATAGGTTAGGTCATGGGTACGTAAAGGTCATCATAGGTTAGGTAAGGTATGTAACAAACATTATAGGTTAGGTCAAGGTTATGCAACAGTCATCATAGGTTAGGTCATGGGTATGTAACAATCATCATAGGTTAGGTAAGGTATGTAACAATCATCATAGGTTAGGTATGGTGTGTAACAATCATCATAGGTTAGGTCATGGTTATGTAACAATTATTATAGGTTAGGTAAGGTATGTAACAATTATTATAGGTTAGGTAAGGTATGTAACCATCATCATAGGTTAGATCATAGGTATGTAACAATCATCATAGGTTAGGTCATGGGTGTGTAACAATCATCATAGGTTAGGTCCTGGGTGTGTAACAATCATCATAGGTTAGGTCCTGGGTGTGTAACAATCATGATATTTTAGGTCATGGGTATGTAACAGTCATTACAGGTTAGGTAAGGTATGTAACAATCATCATAGGTTAGGTCATAGGTATGTAACAATCATTATAGGTTAGGTAAGGTATGTAACAATTATTATAGGTCATGTCATGGGTATGTAACAATTAACATAGGTCAGGTCATGGGTATGTAACAATTATTATAGGTCATGTCATGGGTATGTAACAATTAACATAGGTCAGGTCATGGGTATGTAACAATTATTATAGGTCAGGTCATGGGTATGTAACAATCATCATAGGTCAGGTCATGGGTATGTAACAATTATTATAGGTTAGGTCCTGGGTATGTAACAATCATCATAGGTTAGGTCATGGGTATGTAACAATCATTACAGGTTAGGTCATGGGTATGTAACAATCATTACAGGTTAGGTGATGGGTATGTAACAATCATTTTATAAACCACCGGTTACACACAAACAATATTGACATTCAAGAAACTATCAGTAACATACAAGTAGCGATATGAAATATTTTTACATATATCCATAATTTACATACGGGCAGTAATAACTTACAAAATCTGTGACATAATACGAAAATTGACAGCATAAAACAACGACGTACAACGACCTGTAACATAAAATTATCAGTGACATGGAACAACCAACAACATACAAATACAAGTGATGGTAACATACAACTACTAGTTACTACTGCACACAACCAATTGTAACATACAACCACCATTAAGATAAAAACACTTGACGACATATAACAGCTTGTGAAAATATATACTACTTACATATTATTACTAGCATAATAAAATCACTTAAATAATAACTTATTACGATAATTATCATATAAATCTATGGCAACGGATGTTGTTAAATACAGATTAGATTAGAAATAGATAATATAAAAATAACATTGTATTAGTGATGATGATAGATACAAGTTGTGTATCCAGAACCTGCTGTCAACTCTCCGTAGACCAAACTCTATTCTGAAATGACAACTCCTCTGGTAAGTACTTATGGTATACATACATTTATATTGTTACAATCGGTTCATTATTATTTTATTGGACACAGTAGCGGCATTGAGACATGACTTATTTCTGACCTCACAATAGCGTTATTAGACAGTTGTCTACCATATCTATGACATGACACAGCATGCCAGGTATGTGATAAAAATATATTATACTTTGACACATATATCAGCCATTAAAAGTCTATTATTACACTTCCTGATAAAGGTTTGTAACATTGCAGGTTTTGCTTACAAAACATGTTCATTTCAAGGCTTTTCTTATAGATTCACAGAGAGAGAGGTTTGACCATCCCGTCAACCGCCGTCTTCATCGCCGGAGAAATCGCGGGGACTGGAATTCTAGCTCTTCCCAGGGCAGTAGAAGATACAGGTAACATTAATGTTAGTGGGAGATACAGGTAACATTAATGGCAGTGGGGGATACAGGTAACATTGATGTTACTGGAGGATACAGGTAACATTGATGTTACTGGGAGATACAGGTAACATTAATGTTAGTGGGAGATATAGGTAACATTAATATTAGTGAGAGATACAGGTAACATTAATGTTAGTGAGAGATACAGGTAATATTGATGTTAGTGGGACATACAGGTAACATTAATGTTAGTGGGAGATATAGGTAACATTAATATTAGTGAGAGATAGGGGTAACATTGATGTTATTGGGAGATACAGGTAACATTAATGTTAGTGAGGGATACAGGTAACATTGATGTTAGTGAGAGAATACATGACATAAAACATATGGAAGCAAAAATGTTTTTTAAATTTGATAATTAGTTGTAATCCGGTATGTGAGGTCACATTGATATTTGATGTTCTATTGATGTCACTGTTAATTATCCTGTTCTTTTTGCTTGAATTTCTACTTTATATAATTCAAGTTGTGTTATTTTGTTTATATTACATTATTTCTTAGTGGATGTTGTGGAATTAAATCCTAAGTTATGTTATGACATTGATATCACGTGATGTCGCACTGCCCTATTTGTTTGCTATAACAAAGGATGTATTGCCGCCTTGTACAAATGGTATGTTATGGTTGATATTTGTCTATTGATATCGGGTGTGATCATATTGACCTGTCAATCAAACGATATCATAAAAACACCGACGATAAAGGATTTCTGATAACGTACAGTGTTAAAAAATAATGCAATTGAACTTTTTCTTTGTGGCGTAATGAAATGTAAGATGACGTAAGGTCGCTATTATTTATATGCTATAACGGCGACGTTGTTATCAAGTTTTATAAAGCATGTACTCTTTGAATATCATTAATAGACAATATTACAATGCTTTGAAACGTTTGACTAAGATCAGGTGATTAGGACTTGCGAGACTGATATCAATTGTACTACATTTGACTAGGACTGGCGAACTTGATATTGACTGCTTGAGTAGGTTGTGTGGGCCTGATATTGAATGTACTCTGTTTGACTTGGGCGGGCGGGCCTGAAATTGACTGTACTCTGTTTGACTAGGATGGGTGGGTCCGATATTGACTGTACTCTGTTTGACTAGGATGGGTGGGCCTGATATTGACTGTACTCTGTTTGACTAGGACGGGTGGGCCTGATATTGACCGTACTCTGTTTGACTAGGATGGGTGGGCCTAATATTGACTGTACTCTGTTTGACTAGGATGGGTGGGTCTGATATTGACTGTACTCTGTTTGACTAGGATGGGTGGGCCTGATATTGACTGCACTCTGTTTGACTAGGATGGGTGGGCCTGATATTGACTGCACTCTGTTTGACTTGGATGGGTGGGCCTGATATTGATTGTACTCTGTTTGACTAGGATGAGGGGCCTGATATTGACTGTAATCTTTGACTAGGATGGGTGGGCCTGATATTGACTGTACTCCGTTTGACTAGGATGGGTGGGCCTGATATTGATTGTACACTGTTTGACTTGGATGGGTGGGCCTGATATTGATTGTACTCTGTTTGACTAGGATGGGCGGGCCTGAAATTGATTGTACTCTGTTTGACTAGGATGGGTGGGCCTGATATTGATTGTACTCTGTTTGACTAGGATGGGCGGGCCTGATATTGCTTGTACTCTGTGCCATCCTGTCGACGTACACAGGGATCATCCTTGGCGAGGCATGGACAATAGCATCTGAATTGTTCGAGGACTGTAAAGGTCATGTACAGAACCCATATCAACTACTGGGACAGAAAGCATATGGTGCAGCTGGCAGGTTTGTAAACTATTAAATAAGTTTTATGATTTTGTATCTCCTAATTGTGACTTATCTCTCTATATATAATTCATCTGTTTATGATTTGACTGTATTTCAGTTTTAAATACGCTGTTGTTGATATCTCCGTTTTTCGACATTAGACAGTGAACTTTATTTATTTTAGGTATGCGGTGTCGGTATGCCTCCATGTTACGATGTTCGGTGGAGCAGTCGTCTTTCTCCTCTTAGCCGCCGACAACATGGAAACCTTAGTAAAGGCCCTGGGACATGACATATCCTTCTGTTTCTGGTTGTTAATCATAGCTGGATTTCTGGTCCCATTTACCTGGTTTGGTACACCGAAAGATTTCTGGTAAAACAGAATATTTCCGTTATGTTATTTGACTGTTTGATGTCTTCCTGATAACTGTTATCAAAAAAAAAAAAAAAAAAAACTAAAATCCATTTTATTTCTGATCCAGGTTGGTTGCTTATGGAGCTACGCTAGCTTCTGCGTCAGCTACGGTCATCATAGTGGTCAGTATTGGACTTGATGCTCCAAACCAAACGTCCACTCAGCATCAGGGCGCTGACTTTCAGAAAATTGCTCTAGCATTAGGGACAATAGTGTTTGCACTTGGAGGTCATCCGGCTTTTCCTACTTTTCAAATGGATATGAAGAGACTCAAAGATTTCAAGAAGGCCGTTTGTCTCGGATTTGTTAGTTAGTTGAATTCTGTGATTGTTTTAATTCATGTTACACACGGATAATGAAATACCGAAAGATAGAAACATGCTTTACTGTGTAGCTCCTTTAGCAAGTATTGTCTTCCTGTTCTGTTAAAATAGTTAGGATTGTGTTAAAGCAGTCGTACATCTGTGAAATGACTAAGTGTTAAAAAAGGCACGAATGTTTAAAGAATGTGATTGTCTTGTAGTTGTGGTCCTCCTGTACCTGCCAGTGACATCTGCCGGGTACTTTGTGTACGGTAATACGTTGAATGACAATATATTAAACAACCTTCCATCTGGGGGTCTGTCCTACGCTGTTCTGTTGTTGGTCACCATTCACCTATTGCTAGCCATTGTCATAGTAATCAGCCCAGTTATACAGGAAGTGGAAATGGTACTCCATGTACCAAGAGGTATCTAGATTTATTACGTTTACCAGACAACTGTGTAACATGCACGGAACATAAAGAGATACGATTGCAGCATCTCAAGAAATCCGTCATAAAACAGTGCCTCTCTTACTATTAGCGTTAACCTTAACCGGACTTCTTTATACTGACACAATAGGTACATGTATTCAATGCGGAAGTAAGACTGTACTTACTTACTGTGTTGGATTCACTTACAGGGTGGATTTAATCAATTTCTTCCATTACTCTTGTTAGAACTAGACGCTTGATGAAAATGAAATCAAAGCATAAATACATATTTATAGATCCCGACGTGAAGATCGCACTCTATGATTTTCATAGTAAATATGAGGGGGTATCTACAGAAGAGGCATCAATATGTGATACGCCAATTCTTGTCTGCTGAAATTATGACATTGCCAATAAGAAATAGAATGAGGCTTACGCGATAGCCATTGAAACTTTACCCACATACCATTCAGTCGTTCCGAAGATGAAATATTATCACTCAATCAGTCATGCTTCAGTATTACATTTATTATGTTGTTAGTTAATAACATGAATAAGGAACTTTCCAAGTGTACATCGGACTCTCCTAAACGTCACAAGAATCCGTTAAACCTACATTTTATTGCTGGTCCGTGTAGCGTTAAAACCAATTTAACCTTTGTCAAATCGTTTCATCGATTTTGCGTTTGGATTATCAAGAGGGTGTCAACTTAGTGGTATTTTTTTGTGTATATGTAACTAGAGAGGTAGGTTAACTGTGAAACAAAATAGGTCAAGGAATTTAAAAATTAAAAACATAAAAAAGACGCATTGATAGTTTACCTCAAAGTGCAGTTGTTGTTTACAAAGCAATTACATAATTCACATTTTCGTTATGAAGATTTCACCTGGAAGAGATGTGTAACGAGGCTGCTGGTCGTCGCCTGTGTGTTGTTTGTGGCCGAGACTGTACCAAAGTTCAACTCGTTATTGTCTTTAATTGGTGGATCATCACTGACAATATTGGATTTTATTTGTCCAATATTATTTCATATGAAAATGCATAAACTGAAGGTGGAAGCTTCAGAACAAATCAACGATAACAATCGTTTAGAGGGAGTGCAGGTTTCATGGGATAAAACCATTGAGTACGTATCATTCGGGTGACAGGTTTAGCATTGTCATGGTTATATCACTAATTGAAGGCTAAATCAGGAACAATAATTAACTGGACCAGAATTCTTTAAGACGGTTGGAACTCGGACATTTTACAACTAATAGCTATATCTATCTCTACTTATATCACAGAACACCTTTCTAGGGTAGAGATTATAACTTGGCATCATTGTTATACATGGGCTATACCATTACTCTTTACTGTATTATTTGATATTTTGTGTAAAAAACGGAAACTTTAAACATTTGAAGGAGAAATATTTCAATAATTCAATATATAACTTTCATTTTCAGGATTAGATAATTGTAATAGAATGTCGTTACATGTCTAAATTATTCGGTATGATATGTTCATATTATGGTGTAGTAAAACTATTATCTGCACGTGATGTAGATTATATATATATATTTGTTTATGTATCATACATATATTATAGGCACATACCGTTGTGGAGAAAGGTACTGAACTACGAGATCCTTGGTCTAGGTGTTGTAGCCGGCGTAGCTGCCTCGGTGTCCGCCATCATCAACATCGTCAGTCCCGATTCTTTCTCCATGCCTTGTTACGTCAACATAAGCAGTGCTGCTACTTAATCCTTGTGTATAGTCCATTATAGAGCAGTGTACATCTTGTATATCATATATCACTGATGATAAAACTAAGTTGAATTTCCCTATGTAGGATGTCAATGGTAGGACAGAGATGATCAATACTTCATCTCATTAATCTACCAAATCACACCAGCTGATCCGGACTTGTCTTCAATATGCTTCTCGTAAATCAAAGAGAGTGTTATTTAATTAAGAAACACTGTAGGAACAAACCAATTTATAGAGCAACATGATGCGTTTTATTATTGATATTTTATTTAAAAGGCATATTGTTGTCACCAGAACTGGATGAGCCTGTTAGTGAACACGATTCGTCTTCAAAACTATGTGCAATTTTGTCTCGGTGATATTGATATGACGACAAACGGACGTATTCTCCACAGTTCTGGTCGGAATTGTTAAAATCTAACGTAATCTACTTTAGTGTTTTATTTCAAACTTTCCTACTTAAGAATAAAGCCGACTCGGCCATGCCTTAGACTGCACACTGTCAATCCTTATTCTTTACCTTTTTGTATAGAACAATAGCTTTTGTTCCTTTTTGTTGCAATTCGAGTTATTACAAAGTTTGTGGTAACAATGATATCATCAAGATTAGGCACTGTTGGTTCATGGTATGTGTTCTTAACAAAAAAAAAAAAAAAAAACAAAACAAAAAAAGACGTCACTGAAAAATAATATAAACGTGAAGGAGAGAGCGCAGATAAATCAATTATACAGATGTTATATTCTCGTAATATTCGAATAAAATATGTAACAATCATCATAGGTTAGGTCATGGGTATGTAACAATCATCATAGGTTAGGTCCTGGGTATGTAACGGTCATTACAGGTTAGGTCATGGGTGTGTAACAGTCATCATAGGTTAGGTCCTGGGTATGTAACAGTCATTACAGGTTAGGTAAGGTATGTAACAGTCATCATAGGTTAGATCATGGGTATGTAACGGTCATTCATCATAGGTTAGGTCATGGGTGTGTAACAGTCATCATAGGTTAGGTCATGGGTGTGTAACAATCATCATAGGTTAGGTCATGGGTATGTAACAATTATTATAGGTCAGGTCATAGGTGTGTAACAATCATCATAGGTTAGGTCATGGGTATGTAACAATCATAGGTTACCACAAACTTTCAATAGTCCTTCAGTGATATGATAACAGTGCATAGATATTCGGTTATGTAATAACAGTACATAGATATTTGGTGATGTATTAACGGTACATATATATTCAGTGATGTATTAACGGTACATAGATATTCGGTGATGTATTAACGGTACATAGATATTCAGTGATGTTATACCAGTACATAGATATTCGGTGATGTATTAACGGTACATAGATATTCGGTGATGTATTGACAGTACATAGATATTCGGTGATGTATTACCAGTACAAAGATATTCAGTGATGTATTAACGGTACATAGATATTCGGTGATGTATTAACGGTACATAGATATTCGGTGACGTATTAACGGTACATATATATTCGGTGATGTATTACCAGCACAAAGATATTCAGTGATGTATTAACAGTACATAGATATTCGGTGATGTATTAACGGTACATAGATATTCGGTGATGTATTACCAGTACATAGATATTCGATGATGTATTACCAGTACATAGATATTCGATGATGTATTAACGGTACATAGATATTCGGTGATGTATTACCAGTACAAAGATATTCAGTGATGTATTACCAGTACATAGATATTCGGTGATGTATTAACGGTACATAGATATTCGGTGATGTATTACCAGTACATAGATATTCGATGATGTATTACCAGTACATAGATATTCGATGATGTATTAACGGTACATAGATATTCGGTGATGTATTGACAGTACATAGATATTCGGTGATGTATTACCAGTACAAAGATATTCAGTGATGTATTAACGGTACATAGATATTCGGTGATGTATTAACGGTACATAGATATTCGGTGACGTATTAACGGTACATATATATTCGGTGATGTATTACCAGCACAAAGATATTCAGTGATGTATTAACAGTACATAGATATTCGGTGATGTATTAACGGTACATAGATATTCGGTGATGTATTACCAGTACATAGATATTCGATGATGTATTACCAGTACATAGATATTCGATGATGTATTAACGGTACATAGATATTCGGTGATGTATTACCAGTACAAAGATATTCAGTGATGTATTACCAGTACAAAGATATTCGGTGATGTATTAACAGTACATATATATTCGGTGATGTATTACCAGTACATAGATATTCAGTGATGTATTACCACTACAAAGATATTCAGTGATGTATTACCAGTACAAAGATACTGGTGATGTATTAACAGTACATATATATTTAATGATGTTATAACAGTACATAGATATTCGGTGATGTATTACCAGTACAAAGATATTCGGTGATGTATTAACAGTACATAGATATTCAGTGATGTATTAACAGTACATAGTTATTCGGTGATGTATTAACGGTACAAAGATATTCAGTGATGTATTACCAGTACAAAGATATTGGTGATGTATTAACAGTACATATATATTCGGTGATGTATTAACGGTACATAGATATTCGGTGATGTATTACCAGTACAAAGATATTTGGTGATGTATTACCAGTACAAAGATATTCAGTAATGTATTAACAGTACATAGTTATTCGGTGATGTATTAACGGTACAAAGATATTCAGTGATGTATTACCAGTACAAAGATATTCAGTGATGTATTACCAGTACATAGATATACGGTGATGTATTAACAGTACATATATATTCGAGGTTGTTATAACAGTACATATATATTCGATGATGTTATAACAGTACATAGATATTCAGTGATGTTATAACAGTTCTGTCCTGTACATCATTAGACAGATTTGGTCTATTCGGAAAATCCTTTTTCTGGTTTAATTTGTTTAAATATGGAAATTTATATAATAGAGATTAAGGTTCTAAGTGTATCTTTATTCTTTCCTGAATGCGTAGCTAGATATCAGATATCAAAATATTAACGACACTAATAATATACTTTTTATTACGGAAAATATTTTGCATATCGTTGTCCTCGTCTACTCTGTTTTCACTTGTGTAAGTCTGGATATGTTACTTTTTACTAATGATAAATTGTACAAAAGTATTATGCAGTAAAAATAACACACTTTTATCAATGGAAGTTTTTATAACATAAAAATAACACACTTTTATCAAATGACCAGTGTGAAGTTTTTATAACATAACTTTTCCCAGATTCAAGTACACTATGGGTGAAAGTAGTGTGACGAGAAAAAGCAGGGTGTGATCTGGTTATCACTCACATTACCGTGGTAAAGAAAGTGTTATGAATTTTGTTTTCTCATTTCGCCCTTTCAACTATAAGGACATTCAGTTTTAAAACACGCCATTCAAAATATGTCACAAAAAATACATAAATTATCATAGTTTTACCTTTGTTTTTGTTCCTCGATATACACCGATATATCACAGTATGACGGATAATAGTGTTTTAATTATAAGAGTTATGTCCCTTCTGATACGAACAGACCACGTTTGTATATGCGACATGATTTGCCTCATGGGTAATCAGACGTTATTAGATAGAGGTATTAAATGGTTTCCCGCTTAATATCATATATTGTTCACCAGTATGACTGCCATGCTTGTGAAATAAACATTGTACATGATATTAAATGGGAAACCAATCTTCTTTTAATACCATTGTTGCAGGAAAATTAGTTTTTAAAAAGGCCAATACAAGCATGAAACAAAGTGATGATAAAACACGTTCAGGAAATACGACCGCGTTCTTTGAAATCAGATGGATTGGCAAGACGCTGACAAAAAGACGACGCCATTTTAAGTAGGCTGCCTTACATTGTGTTCTACCATTGTATACTGTTATCTGGTAAGAATTGCTAACAAAACCATATCAGAGAAAAACAGATATTTACACAGAAATTTCTCAATAGAAAATCAACTTATTCAACATTCGTTTCATTTGCGTTCTTCAGGAAAATCGACGAATTTCAATGCATTGACTAGTAAGCCCCTCTCTGAATGGTCAAAAATGGCAAAAGTGATGTACATTTAGAAAAAGATCGAATTAATGTATTATATATTGTTTATCTATTAACCGATTATCTGAAATATAAATGACAATATATTGAACATAAAACACAACAGTTAGAATAAATTTTACAAAGACGGGCTACTGAATATCGATAGCAATATTAAGAAAACAAAACACAAGATTTACACTAAAAATCACAAAGTGTTGAAGATGACGTACAACACTTACTGGATAATTACAAAATATAGGAATATTGTAACGTTTTAAACACGATAATGAAACCCTACTAAGTTTGTTTAGGTAATATAGACGAATAAGAATGAAGAGCAGATTGTGTGACGTCACCATCGATGTTTGGTTCGTAGTCCTATTCCTTTGCTCTGCTATGGTCATTGACTTCAACAGATTAAGGGTTACATTCAGCTGTCAGGTTGTTAAATTAACGTATTCCATATGTAAGGGATTCTGCATTATGTGTTGAAAGTTAACATTTGTAGAACGGTGAACTATATCTGGCTCACATCTGTGACACACTTACACCTTTCCACAATTCATCCTTCGTTTGAATGTCTGTTTGGCCAACGTCGTATTCAAAATATTAGCATTATTTCATTATCACATTTAATACAAGTACTTTAAAAATCTTGATATTTCTGTGAAAATCTAAATACTTCTGAGTATACTATAAATGAATTAGAAAAAGTCTCCCATTTTTATTTGATACACCATTACTGGTATAGACCTTTAACCTTTAAATAATTACACGAAAACAATAAAAGTAAATGTTACAACTGACTTATTAAAAACGGAAAACCCGGCCTAATTTTAGTAACATCAATATATATATATGTGTGTGTGTTTGTGTGTGTGTGTGTTTGTGTGTGTGTGTGTGTGTGTGTGTGTGTATGATGACGTCATTATACTGTTACTTAACTGTTGCCTTGGTTTCTTCTGTTGTTCAGTCAGCCATTTTAATTCATTTTTTGATATTACGTTTCAACAGTCTCTCGACATCTTACGATTCCTTCTTGTTCCATGTAGGCTATCTTCGTGTAAACATGTTAGCACTTTCGCCTGTGTTAGATACCAGTTTAGAACCGAAACTGGACGGCATTCCTGTAAAATAATATTCACATGGCAATTAAGATCTGCAGTTAATGGTTCGGCCATGTTACTGACAAACTACTCAGTCTGGTATTACAAGTATCTTTCATAGGTTTCTGCTGTTCCCATCTTCCCATTGTTTCCATTTCTTCGATGGTAGTTATCCCCTGACAACCCTATAGAGGAAATGCTTAATTCTAAAACTACTGACGTGTAAAATGGGAGTAAAATACCGGTACAATCACAATTTACAGCATCAATGGGATGGGAGAAAATGGAACGCTGTGCTGAGAAATCACATTCTTGTCCTCTGATATTAGAAAAGAATATTAGAGTAGGCCAGAAGAAACCTGGAATGCTAAATCTACAAATAATTTCCCTGTATAGGTTGATTGTGTACGGGGCCACAGTAGCTACTGCGTCCGCTGTGGTCATCATAGTGTTCAGTATTGGCATTTATGCACCTACACAACCGGAAGTGCACCACCAAAACGCAGATTTCCGAACGATTGCATAAACATTAGGGACAATTGTGTTTGCTGTTGGAGGTCATCCGACATTTCCTACATTTCAAATGGATATGAGGAGACACAGGAATTTTAAGATAGTTGTCACGTCCGGTTTTATCAGTAAGCGAATCTTTATAACTTATCATTGTGTCATCAAATAACCTAACATGAACTGAGGATCCAAGTGACGTCATAATGTAGTTTACGATATCAGCTAATATGGCAAATATCTTTAAATCTCAGGAATTGTTTTAGATTTGACATTTACTTAAATGATATGATCAAAGCGAGCAGAAAACATTAAAGAATATGAAATTTAAATCGGATTATGAGATACTCATGTTTCTCTCAACCATATATATTTCTGATCGTTTGTAGTTGTGACCCTGATGTACCTGTTAGTTACATGTGCTTGATATTTTGTGTACGGGATATCCCTAGATGCCAATATTTTAAACAGCCTACCAACCGGAGCATTGTCCTACGTGGTTTTGTCGCTGGTAACAATTCACCTACTATTAGCCATTGTTATCGTCCCCAGTCCAGTTCTATAAGAGTTTGAAATGGTACTTCAGGTACCAAAAGGTATTCATTTATAAAACATGAACATCAACTAATATTAACTGCTGTAGATTTTTTCAGATAATGTCGACATGTTCATCGATGATGGACATCCTACTGAGCATCGTCAACTTTACTAAATAAGAATGTATAAGCTTTGCAGAACAAAAATCACAAAACTGCGTTTCATTTTTTTTAAGTATTTACTTGGAAAAGATGTATATCAAGATTCCTTGTCGTCACTATGGTTTTGTTTGTAGCCGAACTGCACCAAAGTTGAACTCTCTCCTGTCACTGATTGGTGGCTCCTCACTAACAGTACTAGACTTCATTTGTCCAGTATTATTCCACATGAAAATGTGTAAACTGAAATCAGAACTTGATCTTAAAAATGGCTACATCAGGGCTTTTGAGTAGGTACACTGTGATAATCAAAATGATAATATAACCCTATTGCTTTGTAAATTGTAATGAATATTTTGAATGAATGATTAAAAGTAATGGAAACAAAATGAATTCTGATTGACGAAACAGTGATAGAGCAGGAGAGTAGGAGAAGATTTACTGTTTTTAATGTTTGTGTTCGTTAACGTTGGTAAATGTCACACACTAAAGGGATGTAAAAGCATAGATATTTTGAAATCCGCTATCTATTTAGCTAATGTTAACGGTAACAAGGATACATTGTACTGATGTGTGTTATTTTGAATCCTCGGTTACCTCTATATTACTATTTTAGACCGCTACCGTTGTGGAGAAAGGAACTACGAGATCATTGGTCTAGGTGTCCTCGGTGTCCGCCAAAGTCAAAACAACACTGGCCGAAAGCATTGTCATCGTTTATGTAAAATAAGCATAGCAGAACTTTAAATTCTTGACGGAATGAAAATCATTTTCATAGCCACATATGATTAACGCCTCTTTACCCATTTGAATCTTTAATATACCTTATAAATATATAAATGTATCACATCACCAAGCGTGTACCTATTGCCATTGGTGCAATAATTCGATGACGTACATCACAAAGTTTGACAGCAAACAGAGTGTATCATTGATTATTTCTATCAGTATACCATCTTTGTAAATATACGTCTCTCTATAAGTTAACTTTCTTTGTAAATATACGTCTCTCTATAAGTAAACCATCTTTGTAAATATACTTTCTTTGTAAATATACGTCTCTCTATAACTATACCATCTTTGTAAATATACGTCTCTCTCTATTTATACCATCTTTGTAAATATACGTCTCTCTATAAGTAGACCATCTTTGTAAATATACGTCTCTCTATAAGTAGACCATCTTTGTAAATATAAGTCTCTCTATAAGTAGACCATCTTTTTAAATATACGTCTCTCTATAAGTAGACCATCTTTGTAAAAGATTTCTTGGTTCTGCTTATTCATAGCTATCAGTATTAATTCATTTTGTACGAAATTGATATGCAAATAAGGATATTCAATTTGCTGCCTGTCTGTCTTGCATTTTCAAAGGTTTCAAGATAGAATAGTATTATGTATAATTTTAGATACATCTTGATGAAACTGTCTACTTTTCTTTTTTAAATAGAAAATATACAATTACTTATCGTGCCAAGTTTTGTTTTGCATCTTCCATTTTGTTGTCTGTATGTACGCCATTGTCGTGAAATACCTAATTTTGATTTAATCTACCTGTCATCTGATTGTTATCAACAAAGGTGTATCGTTATATCTTACTGGGAAATGGAAAATACATTAAGAAATGAAATGAAATAAATATATAGAACAAAATAAATCCTTGATCTTGAATTTTCTGTGTTTTATACGAATGAAATTCTTTGTAACTCGTTAATCTCATTATATACTTTGTATCATTCCCGTAACACTTGCTCTATAGAAAAGGGTTTGAGAACGTGTAGTGGATATTTCGGGACCAATTTCACACAGAGAGTTTTATATACATTTCTCAACTATTTCTGTTTCTTTTCTAGCACAGCACCTTCAAAACGATACTCAAGTCATGTCTCTACTTTATAGTGTTGTTTGTGTGCGATCACCCTATCTAAATGTTCCATTTATATGTCATCAAAATGTATACATCTTTTCCCTTGTATTACATTTATTAAATGACATTTGGCTTATACCACTGCCAAGGCAAAAGGTAACTGTTAGATTGTGAAATTGAAATGTCTTATGGCACGAAACCGAATTGATTTCAAGTTCTTCTGCAAAGTTTAGATTTGAACGTTCGAATAACCATGCTTAAATTGTTGAATTGGCCTTTCGACCTTATTGTTTTTTAATCTTTGTATACAAGTCCTTCTGAGCATTTGTCTGAAAAAATGACATGTCAAACGTTAGAAGTTACGTATTGAGTGAAAGTATTACCTAAATGCACGTAAGGTTTTAGATAAGCTAATATAACATATCATAATTTCAAGCAAAGTACATAAAATCACACGTTACCTTCGCTGCTATATAAAAATAACATCAAATCCCATGATGTGAGTGTAATATCCGAAGTAGACATATCAATGTTGCATTCATTATTTTACTCCTAAAACATTTTAAGGTGGTTTGACACGTATAATAATGAGATTTGGCATCGCAAATTACACGCGATGTGCTATTTATACACACACACATATATATATGCATAGATATATACATAGATATATTTTTTTCGTTATTTCTGATGTTATACAATATACTTTACTACACGTATTACAATATATCACGTTATCCGTGAGGAAAGTGTGAAACATCTGCTTCATGAAATTTAATGACAATCCAAAACATTACACGCACCTGCTGTTCTACAATTCTGTAATAAAGAGTGTCCATGTTGATATAACTTTATGCAAGCAGGTCTTCATTTCTATTGCTTTCTAAAATATTTGAAGATACAAATCAGACATGTATTCTACAGAAATTTGATAACCACGCTAATTTCTAACTCGCCGTGGGACACGTTGGTATGTCTTGATGTAATGTTAAATTTGTTGGGCCACAACGAACCTTGCCATTAACCTTTGTGACGGTCAAGTGAACTGTTCTGCTTTACCTTTGTGGCGGTCAAGTGAAGATTTTTGCTTATCTTTTTATGACGGTCAAGTGAAGCATTTTGCAGGAACATGTAACGTATTTATTTACATGTAGTCATATGTAGGTGTTGAAATGAGTACTTATTTACAAAATGTACAACTTGATATCCCAGTGTGAAGTGAAGCTTACATAAGGACATCTTAGTAGGAGTCGAAAGGTAAGATTTAGAATATAACTCAAGTATATAACGCGGGTAGACATTCATCCACGCATTACTATGATATGTTTTAAGATCAAATAAGACTGTTCGAAAAAAAAAGACTTTTATAATCAGGTACCGAAATACATTTGAGTATGTGTAACTGAATCACATTCACAGACAAGTATCAATGGCAATGGTATAGATTGACTAAAGTTAATATGACGGGTGTCGTCTATGAAGTCGAAGAAGCTTACTCTTCCAGAACACCCGGTCTTACTCTCCTTCAAGGTCTTTGTGTAAATCGTTCTTTTGTTCATATCTTGCCTAAGTTTTACTGAATTTGTGTTTGGATTATGAATATGTTTACATGTTGGTATTTTCTTATTTTTGTTGGACATACCTTGTAATGATACGTATAATAATATTTTGGATCATTGTCACAGTAAACAGCAATTTGCCGAGACTATCACACTCCATCTTTACAATGTCAACCGAAAATCTAGTAAGTACGATAACGTATGGGTAATGAGGGTCTGTCTTTTGTTGAGACATTTGCTACATTCCGTGTTATTGCGGAGTTAATTTTGATTCTATGACAAAACATAATATTTAATGATATTTTGTTACATAACTTTGTTACCTACACGTGAAGCAATATTTGTTATATACATGTATATAGATATTCGTGTCAGAACATTTTCGGATACAACGACGCTTACGTTAGATTTGATATAGAGTATACATGTACCTGTCTTATGAATTATCAGTACTTTTGATGCCATTATCACGTTATAAAAGTGGCCTAAAGCTAGGTCCTGAGTCACACCAATATATGCCTTTACAGATCAGAGAAATATAGCCTCAATTACATTATCATAACTAAGCCTTTACGGTACACAGACATCGCCTGTGGCAAAATCAAACACCGTGCATCTACCCGTGTAATTGTCTAAAGGCCAGCAGAAAGTAGTTTACCGTAATGTAGAATCCATTTAATAGATATCATATTAGTATGTAGCTTTCACACTCTTGAATAGCTTCCTTTTGTAAAGATATTTGTCAAATGATAGATATGTGAAATGTGTTGCTGGTAATAGAAAATGACCCATGACCAGATTTTTGGTATGACCACCAATGTATAAAAATCACTGATATAGAGACCTTTCAGGTTTCGCTATGTTTATATTTTATACAAGAATGGCATTGTAATTTGTTTCTTTACTGTTTATAAGATTTGTTATCTGTATCATATGCACCTAATTGGATATCGTAGACTGTATCCAGGTAGGAGTTTCATTTCGTTTAGTCTTTGATACTTATAAACCATATGCAAAATAAAACAGTGGTATATGTATATTGCTACCCAGGTCCACAGGGAGGCGGGGTTAACGATCTCGTCAACCGCCGTGTTCATTGCTGGAGACGTTGCAGGGACGGGGACACTTGCCCTTCCCAAGGCAGTTGATAACATAGGTATCTGAATACAAACTCTTAATGTATCAATTTGTTCAATACATTTGTGTTCTTAGATTGTATATTTGTGTGAAGCTCTCTAATCCGTTTTTTTTTTTTTTTTTTTTTTTTTTTTTTTTAAACTTCGAATTTCAATAATCCATTCTAATATAAATGGAATTGTGTAGCAGGCAAAGCCTATACAAGTCCTCTCCTTGAAGTAAAAGGAGAAAACAAAACGTGGTTGTTGTATGAGACATTTGATCATTTCCGTTTGTAGTTTTCAAATGTTATCAAAAAGCTCATATTTTTAGTAAATTTTGAAAAATATGTAATGAGAGAGAAAGGAATACCTTATGCAAGGACCCCATGTTTCTACCACCATAATGGAGATATTCCGACAAGAACAAGGAATTAACCTGTTCTGCAACCACGTGAGTTTCGGTCACGATTTCAGTTGGGCGTTATGGCATGGCATGAAGCGAAATACCGCTAATTGATATGTAAAACTTACCATTTCAGAAATATGTGGAGATATTAAAATCAATCTTCTTGAAGGAAATTTATTTATAGAAATCTTTATAAAAATAAAATTATTACAAAACCATCGCGAACCTTTAGGCACATTTTAATTTTAGTATCAGTCATATTTATGGTTATTTTTTCATTTTGTTTGCTCAACAAATGATTAATTCATTCATTGTCAGTTGAATACCATACACCAATTGTGGTAGAAATATACATCTAAAACAATATCAATCCACAGTAATTTTATTATAAGTAAGGAATTAAAACATTCCAATGTTCTATTCACAGCATTAACTAAAAAACCTGGAGGATTACAGCATTCAAACTCAGTTCATCATATATATGCCATAAAATTACACCAGGGATTTCGAGACCTAATTGTATCATAGTAAAGTGCCTGTTTGCAGATGCTTAATTGATTTCTGTCTCATAGAAAATGTTACTCGTGAAACATTGTTTTGGTTATTGTCCTTTAATGTATATACCTCTCCTCAGGATGGGCTGGACTTCTATTGATGTTACTTTTCGCGTGTGTGTCGACGTACACGGGTACGCTCCTCGGCGAGGCTTGGACTATGGCAGCTTCGATGTTCGAGGACTGTAAAGGGCACGTACAGAATCCCTATCAATTACTAGGAGAGAAAACGTATGGAAAAATCGGAAGGTAAACTCAATTACCTTTCAATATTACAAAGTAATTTGGTTAAAGGTTATGTATTTTATGATTTACACTTGATTGAAAACATTGAAATTGGTAGCAATTTATCATTTATCCACATCAGAATGAAGGTTTGTCTGAAAAGTTTGGAAAACTATTTTTACAATGCTATGGATTATTCAACCGAAATCATGAACGAACCTTCCCTATTTTAGCATTTATATTTTTATTTTTAAAATTCCCATTATAGTCAATCTGCGATTTATGCGGCGTCACAATACTGCATTTCATTTTTATTCCCTCTCGAATCAACGTAAGCACTTTCCAGTTTCCGGATTTTTATCTTATCATATTAGAGGATGCAAGATATCTCATTTATTACTTATCACTCATGATGCTTTAACAGGACCACTTGAAACTAAATAGTCGCTTCGCTTTCAATGGTATGGGTATTGACAATTATTTTCCATCCATCAATGTGTTACACAATGAATTATTTCCAATGCAGATATGTAGTGTCCGTTAGCCTGCACGTATCCATGTTTGGAACAGCTATTGTGTTTCTGCTCCTGTCTGCAGACAACGTAGAAATTCTGTCCAGAGCTCTAGGACATGACATCTCATTCTGTTTCTGGTTGGTAATAATAGCAGGATGCTTAGTCCCTCTTTCTTGGTTCGGCACACCTAAAGACTTTTGGTAAGATTCATATCATATCTACCATTTTCTGTCAAAAATCATGATAAATGACAATTGATTCAAATTTTTAAATAGTCTTGGAGATTATAGGGTAAGAGTTATAGTATAAGTTTTATTTTTCTGTAATGCTGTCTTAATGCACAGCTTTATTGTACAACTGCTGTGTCATTGAAAGTCTTCCGTATTATATGGTATAGACACAAGAAAATATGAGAAATTCATGAATACATTTCCTCTTTTCCATTCCTCAGGTTGATTGGCTACGGAGCCACAGTAGCAACCATTTTAGCCGCAGTACTCATTGCGATAGGTATTGGTCTGGATGCCCCGAATCAGCCGATCGTTAACCACCAAAGTGCTGACTTTCAGAATATTGTGTTAGCATTTGGAACTCTTGTGTTTACATTTGGAGGTCACTCCTGCTTTCTTACTTTTCAAATGGACATGAAGAAGGAAAAGGATTTCAAAATGGCAGTCATTTTCGGATATGGCAGTAAGAAATTTGCAGTTGAATATAGCCCTTCAAACATTTGACAGATTATTTAAAATAACTCCCGATAGGGAAATGTCTTTACCCTCCTATATAACGATTTATTCACTTGTTTTCTTTAGTTACCATCAGAACTATTTTAAACACTCATTGTCGTCACAATGAAACAAAATTTTAATCACTATAAAATCACTGTGTGGCGAAGTTATGGAAATTTTATATTGGTGACTTTCCGAATGATGCTTATGCTGGAGAAAAATATAAACAGATTTCTCTTGTGTCAAATGTAACATTGTGTTTGTAGTTGTATTGCTGATATACATACCAGTAACGGTTGCCGGCTACTTTGTGTATGGGGTCGAACTGCAGCATAATGTGATGAACAACCTACCGACCGGGACATTATCCTACATCATACTGGTGATGGTCACCATACACCTCTTTCTTGCCTTCATCATCATCCTCAGCCCGACAATACAGGACGTTGAACTTGCACTAAATGTACCTAAAGGTATGAATAGATTTGCATTCAATGTCATATTTGGCCAGACAGTTTTATTGTAGAAAACAATTATTTATTTAGTCCTATTATAACTTAAACGTCTGCACTCTTACACGATAAATTTGGCTAATTTAGTTAACATTAATACTTTCATATTATTAATCAGCTGCTATCATTATGGCCAAGTGATTATTCTCGGGCCAATGTGACAGACCAAAGGCCTGATAAGTGGGTTAATATATCAGCTGGTTTATGACAATTTCATAAATTAACAGTGAATATTTTGAGTAAATTTAAACAATAGTTCAAGTATTAAAAGTAAATTATATTTTCAACAACTTTATAGTCACTGTTGTTAGGCAGTGAAAGGGACGTCTGCTCCTGATGACACTTTTTTTTGCATGTTTTATAACTTGCCCCCTGAAACTTCGAATCCTCTATCACGTACATAGTTGTTGTCTATATCTAAAGGGGATGTTATGTTAGAACGAATGATCATGAAAAATTTCAAATGAAGGGCACATTCGATTATCGGCGAAAACCTTGGTTCATATATGATATTGGCCGAACTGGGGTAACATGTTCTATTATTGGTCGTGTTTGGTAACAAAGGATTTTAAAAGATGCAAGTTGATATTTCTTCGTGCAATTTAGAGATGGACGGATTTGATGCTTCATAAGTTTGCCTGTTGGTTCTGTTGTTGTATACCTTGTTCTCATTTTTGAACGTGACACTTCTTACTTGGATTGACTAAGATGTACATAATGGGTGTCATCGATGAAGCAGAAGACTCTTACTCTTCTTGATAAATCTTTCATTTTCATATTTCACACTCTTGTTTTATTGAATTATTTGATTTTTGGATTATGATTATGGTAATTAATAAATGGAAATGTAAACGACATATAGAAATACATAAACAAAAAAGGACTCAAATTCTAGGTATAATATTTTTTTTCAATTCGATTATGTATTTTTTTTATCTTCAGAATTCACATGGAAGAGATGTGTGGTGAGATTGATCTTAGTTGTATGTATTTTGTTCATTGCCGAGACTATACCAAAGTTTAGCACGCTGCTGTCACTGATGGGAGGATCATCATTCACATCTACCGATTTTATCTGTCCTATATTATTGTATACAAAGATGTACAAAATGAAGGCGGAATACAAAGCTTCATTAATTAACGACGATAGCTTACAAATTCAAGCAGCTTGGAGTAAACCAAAGGAGTAAGTATGGATATCTTAATGCCTTTATATGGTAAAATCGCTAATATACACATTAAACAGAAATGATTTTGAAATTATGCGTCATATTGGTAACACGCCTCTGTTTTGTAAACCAAATAAGAAAGTATAGATATTTTAGTGACGTTTCATAGTAATATCGCTGATATACTTATTTACAAAAATTGCTTTAAAATTATGCGTCGTATTGGAAACACTTATGTTAGGAGACAGCATGTACTTTCGTCTACTAACAGCTGTTAAAATATTTAGTGTTTACTTCTATGTCATTTTGTTTATAGGGTTTTACCACTGTGGAAGAAGGTACTAAACTACGTAATAATCGTGGCAGGAATGCTTGCCGGATTGGCTACCTCGGCGTCCGCCATTATTAACATTGTCAGTCCTGATTCCCTGTCTATGCCTTGTTACGTTAGTCTTGGTTCCACAGCACCCTGAGAGGGTAATCATATACAGCAGCATTAACTCTAGCCCAGTTGAAGATATCCTTGTCAAAAGGCAGGATATCTTATTGATAAAACGATATTAACGAAACAACAGAGTAAAGGAACTAACTGATGAGTTTTCACAAAACAACAGAGGATATAGCTGTTGTTTTATCCTTAAACAATAGATAATCTAAATGAACAATTAATTTCAATTACACCGGTTTAGGATCTATCTCATCTGCTAAAAAACAATAGATGTCAGAAATTTTATTTCATACATATCAGAATCGTGATAATAAGAAGAGAATGTAACTGAACCTTTCCTCGGAGCATTAAACCTGAAGAGAAAACGATCTTGTTTCGATTAACAAGTGGCATTAAATGGACTATTTACGGCTATTATTTTTTTAAAATAAAGATAGTATCAATATGTATTTTGAATTCCTTACTTCTGTTTCTTTCACTGCCTGATTGATGTGTGTATTTATTTATAGAAAGGAGAAGACTTTCATCTGCTATATATGTTGTTCTATTCCAGTAATTAACAAGTATTTTTCAATGAAATATTTTGGACTGAACAAAATTAACTGTAACTTATGTTAAAAAATGAAAATACAAAGACGCTAACAGAATCTAGTCGTCTTTATAAAAATAGAGGATATGTCGAAACTGTTCTCACATGCCACGTTTTAATTCATTTGATTAGTGTCATGGCTCAGAATATATCCTTCTTCATTTATTTTCATTGAATATACACAGGTGCTTGACATTGTTCTGAAAATATATGATATATGAAAACTAGGATTTTTTTTCGAATAACGGGAATAGTACATCTCCCAATCGCCTGCTAAGCTTCAAAATCTAGACTCCTGGCATAACTTATGAGTACAAGAAGTACTAAACGACTACAATTTGTCTCTACTTACTTTTACTCGAAATTTGTTTTTGAAAGTGCTTTTCACTTGTATATCTTTTGAGCTTCTCTTTTTGCCAACACAGATCTAACAGACTTTTATTTGTCATCGGACAAAGAAACAATTAAACAAGCAACAGCTGAACAATAATTCTGGAAACAAAATCGGATTAAACGGAATTATTCCTTACACGAGCAAAATACCAACCACAATTATTTTCACAAATATATGGGTCCAGTGGAACGCTTTCGTAAAACAAAAACAGACAAAATGCCTTAAATGTTACTGGCTTTCCAAGAATATTTTATGAGCCAGATTAGTCTCAATGAGACATAGAGACAAAGCAGTATACTTATATCGGACTGTAAGCTAAAAATTAATTGGCTTGAATATGTATATATGTAATGTTAAGATAAGATCTAATATCGAAAAGCTTTGAAATCTTTTTTCGATATTCTTTTGTTAACTAATATTTTCAAACATAGTATGCAAAATTATTCAACTCGTAAATACATCTTGTCTGTTATTCATATTTGTGGATAATGAAAAAAGCATTGATAAGGATTGATATATTTAGATCTGCATCATGCAGCTGTTTCGTTCTCCGTGGACACGTCAGTGATGCTGCCCGAGTTGTTGAAATCTAGGAGGCGACAGAAAAATAATATAATCAACTTCATAATTTTCGGATGAAATCTAAAAGAGGCATGCAGATTACGGCAACCTCGGCCACTGACATTGTCAACCAATATCGATAAAGAAATAATAAAGATAAAGAAAAAACCCAAAATGTAAATATTGTCATAATTAAACTCAAATCAATAAAACTAGGGGGAAAAGATGTGAAAGCACACACACACACATACAAACACACACACACACACACACACACACACACACAAACACACACATATCCAATCTTGGCCAATCCAAATAAGTAATGTCAAGTTCTCAAATGAAAACTAAGTTTATAGCAACGGAACTTACAGGCAGATTAACGAGCATCGCACACGTCCAGCTTCATGTCGTACAAAGAAATATGTGAATAGTCTGTTTAAAGCCTTACCACTTAACTCGAAGAAAACGTTGTCAACCAAACACTCGATCATTTAATTATTTCGTTCTGATTATATTTCTTCTAAAATGTATTCTCAGAGCAGGAATATTTAGTACTTATCATTATACCTACAGGACAGAGTTATAAACCAACCTGGAAACAATAATGCAGTATACTTTATATAAGTAAAACATTTATAGAACAGCACAGATTGTAGGTTTATCCATTATTGGGAATATTTATATACGGTCTTTATTTTACAAAGTTATACTGAAGTACTGTTTCTTTGTATCAATTTTATGTACAACACAAAATGTGGAAAGGGCGAATGAAATAAAATCCATCGCAGTGTATATTTTAACTGTAAACTTGACTTGCTACAAACACGACATTGATGTAAATGCCGTCACATTTCGACATTTAATCAATTAATTAATGTTATTAAAAGGTTGTTAAAGAAAATACTGGCCGTTTCATCGTCTATAAAGTACGAGTACGGACAGTAAGACAAAAAGAATATGTGTTTATCTTTGAAGCACATGTAGATATAAAACGAAGAAAAAAACAATAAATAACAAGCTGTATCACGACACTGTTTCACATGCTAAGTACTTCATTGTTATGACTGGCAACTATTTGCACAAAACATGCATATATATATATATCTGAAAAGGTTACTGGGGCACTTGTTGTCTATTGTCAACTACACAGTGAAGTAATTCTGAAAGCAATGAACAGTAAGATATTCCTGATAAAATGTTTACTATATAAAATGTATGTTAGATGAGTAAACTTTTATCGCTATCTATTCACCCTGGAATATAACGTTGATACCTTCTCGTGTAAAAAAGGATTCGCAATATATTAACATTCCATATATAAATATATTGAAGATCTAAATGATTCTCATCACTTACGACCTACATTGTAAATATCCAAGCCAATGGGAAAAGTACGACAAGGAACCTGAAACAACCGTTTGTTAATTATTAAGTATTTCAAACTATCGCAATGACTTGTGTTACTTAAGAAAACATGATCTAATTGAACAAATATAATCATATGTGTTACACTCTAATTACAATGTATGATATAAATTATATCGTATCTTTGTTATGTCTTCAAAGACAGCTTTATAAAGCATATAAACTGCGAATTGTGCTGAATTAAGCACTGCAGATGATAAATCACCATGATATAAGTAAACGATATTTAAAAAAAACATTCATCAGTGGGTAGACATGCAGGATAACAGATATTCTACACTTGGATATAAAATTTCGGTAACCCTGATAACTCCCCCCATATACCACATACCTAACTATCTATAGAATTTACTGGTGCTAAATAGGGAATGGAGGATACTAATAATTCGGTAATCATGTCATCCTTAACATAATTCAGCAAATGTCAACACTTTATATATATATATTCTGTCCCCGCTGGTTTACGGGTTATCTCACTCCACAAAAAAAAATGTATGAATGTTTCAAAGTGATATGGAAATGCATATCAATTTAATCACGGCAAAGTGTATGTGTATCGGCTAATATCGACTATAACGTGTCCGCAGTTAAATATGTTGCCAATATAAATTTATCGATTTTTCTCTGTACCACGCAAACATCAACTGCATATACAACAGTGTTATACATGGATATAGAAGTTATCATGATACCCAGAGTGTAGGACTTATTATAATGTCTACAGATAATCTAGTAAGTATATTATCAAAAAATCATTTATATATCTGTTATAATATGTCTCTATTATAAGTTAATTCATCTGTTTGTTTGACGATACAGCGTTAAAAAATGTCAAATCAAGTGTGGAAATTTTCTTTCGGAAATAATTGGAAATAATAAAAAATTGCTGTTTTTCACAACGTACTCCAATTAAATCATGGTATACTGTTAGTTCGAATGTTGAGTATACAGGTACATGTATGACTAAGAGTTAAAGAGTAGCCGAATTGGTGCACTGTTACCATCGTTTGAACTTCTATAATCCTTTTACCATCTCGTCACACTATTTTCTAACTTTATGTACATAAGATTATATATAGTACAATCGAAAAAGTAGGTCGATTTTTTTACCTTCTTGAACATTACATACGCCAATGCTAGTGCGCCTATGGTCATTTGTCTGATGAAGGTGACTGTGTAACCATAGAAAAGTTCGTTTAAACCTTCTACTGATTTTGTTATAAAAACTTCATTCTATCAACATTTCCAAAATGAAGTTATCGGCAGAATGTTTGATTTTAAATTATCAGATTTTTTAATAGAGTTTATTGTATTAAGGGGCTAGTGCATTCCCCATTTGGATTTTAATATTGCTTGCAATCAATGATTGTCCTCTTACAGTAGGCACTTAACATTGCTGACTTATTCGAGAGGAACAAAACTGACGTTATTTTCGTAATATGTAGAATTAGTCACTTAGTAACTTTACAGAGATGCACAACTTGAAGTGTTCAGGTGAACAGTAAATATGTAGTAAACTGTTGACTGAGGAAACCATTTGTATTTTTTTAAATTACCTGTTGTCTTCCCACTTTGTCAAAGGTAATATTGATATATATATATCTACACAGATCAACAAAAGGGGCTTAACAGTATCCGATGCAACGGTATTCATTGCCGGGTCTATGGCAGGAACCGGGATACTGTCATTACCAAAGGCTGCGGATAACATCGGTAACTATCAAATCTATCTTGATATATAATATTCTGATTACATTCTAAACGACAAGTCCATCACACAGGTGACAGCTGTATGATGCAGTTTTATGTTACTAGATATATAACTGAATGGTCGGTGTAAAGTGTTACTTGAAATGTTTGTCCATAATACGAAAGACAACAAATAAATAAATTACAACTAAAATGGTAATAATATCTGGTTTATTAGAATCGGTTGGACTGTTACTGATTGGGTTATATTCAATCCTATCGATGTACACGGCTATACTGCTGTCTGAAGCATGGTGTATGGCGGCGGATATATTTGAAGACTGCAAAGGACATGTACAGAACCCTTATCAGTTACTGGCACAGAAAACGTACGGGACATGCTGCAGGTTCGTGATGACAGTCTCATTAATTAAACATATACTGTTTAATACGTTAAGATTCTTGATGCATTCATTTGTATAACACGGTGAAATATTAATCTATATCTATAGACAACTAACGAGACCAATATTTTACAGATATACAGTGTCCATTTGCCTATACATCTGCCTTTTCGGATCAACTGTAGTGCTGTTTTTGGTAACTGCTGACAATATGGAGAACCTAGTCTTTGATCTAGGATATCATATTTCTAAATGCTCCTGGCTTGTGATAATAGCTGCTTGCCTTACGCCTTTCACTTGGTTAGGAACACCAAAGGACTTTTGGTAAATATGTGGGAAAAATGATTACATAACGAAATTTCAAAAACAAAACGTTTTATACTTCTGTGTATAAACATATTACATATGATACGAATGTGTTTATAAGATCTTCAGTGAATTTATCATTCATCTGATATTGATAATATAATTAGTCGATTTCCATTGGTCTTTTAGCAAAATCTTGCAAAATAGAAAGGATTATATATGTACTACTACTATATATGTAATCTGAGTTTATATGCGAAAATATGAGACATCTTTTCATACAAAGTAAGGCAGTCATATGGTAAGTTTGTAAAGACACTACCAAACGTCCAACTGACTTTGATTGGCAAACCGCTGGGGCTAAAAGTCCAACGACAGTGTCTACCGCCTGCAATTTCGAAGATTGTACAAAAGACACACATGTGAATAGCACCATTTAAGTGTCTGAAAAAGACATCGTATATTGAAATGATGATCTAGTAGCTGCTTTCTGTCCTTAAGTTCGCCAAAAAAATGAACAAGTAGTCTTTATATCTTGTACCAGGTGGATGGCTTATGGTGCTTTAGCAACCACCGTGATCTGTGTCGTGGTCATATTAATTATCAGTAGTTTGGATGCCTCAAATCAGCCTAGTGTTCAACATCAAGAGGCTGACTTTCAGAAGATCATCCTTGGCATAGGGATTACACTCTTTGCATATGGGTTTCATCCCAGTTTTCTTACTTTTCAAAATGACATGATACGGCAGAAGGATTTTAAAACAGCAATCATCCTCGGTACCATCAGTAAGTGAACACATTTATTATACCATCACCTAGGTCATGAGTGATAGCTTTGTTCAGATAACACCATTCCTTGATCATATAAATGTGTTACACAGCCAACTTTAATATACCATGAACAAGCAGCTACTTCAGTCCTTATCAATTTTGATATCATCTGATGCCGGTATCACTTTGAGCTTATTGTAACGCCGCCTAAGGCCTTTGCTTTGGATGCCTTTGAAAACTTGCTGTGAACTGTCAGAGACATTTGGTTTGAATATCAATGAGCCTATTTTAATATCGCTGAGGATATTGACTTTTCCGTTTTATTAACATTGCGGTTTACATTCTGTCCACTGTTTTGTTGTTGTTTTTTTGTTATTTTTTAACGAATCACAGTGAAAGGAATAATGTAAAAGTTACGTACGTCAAATTCATTGTATTTTAACGGTCAATTCAACTATCGTATATTTTACGCAAGACCGCTTTCCCTTCATAAACTTCATCATCTTGAGTTTCGTTTAATTCTGTTGGAAGTTTGATAATCAATTTAATAAAGGAAATCTTGTTCTTGATCAACTTAAACACATTTTCAGTTATCTTGTTGTTGTACCTGCCGCCATCGATCATCGGATACCTTGTATACGGGAAGAACCTGAATGATAACATACTAAACAACCTTCCAAATGGGCCACTGTACTACATTGTAGCAATTGTGATCACTTTACACCTGTTGCTGGCTATCGTACCAATCATCAACCCTGTCCTGCAGGATGTTGACCTGGTGTTCCATGTGCCAACAGGCTAGTGTTACATACGTATGTTCGGTGTCTTTCCGTACTTGCATCGACCAAGCCTGAATTCAGACAACGATTTCGACCGCTTTTTTCAATTAATAAATGAACAGAGAAATAAGAGTAATAATAAAATAATATCAATTAATAAATAAGAATAAATATTTTAGTGATGTTTTGTTTATACAGAACAGCCGGGTTGTTAATAAAAATGAAACGTGATAACCTCCTCAGAGCTGCTAACTTTCACATGACTGAGAAATCCATATATTTTCTTATATTGGGCATTTTTAACTATTCAGGCCGCATATTAATTAAAAACGCAGGATTCTTATATTCTAACCTAAAAGTACTGTCAACTGACTACGTTTCCGTTTCTATTATAAATGATGTATCATGACAAATACGAAAAATGGTCATCACAAAATAATATGTACAATGCCTGTTTAGGATGTTAAGATAAAGTTAACAGAATGCTTTGATATACATGTTAGTGAGAGCAACATACCTTATTTCATACTTTGGCCATAGGTTTTTAGTTCAGATACAGTTAACTGAATGCTTTGATATACAAGTTAGTGTGAGCAACGTTCATTATTTCATACTTTGGTTACAGGTTTTAGTTAAGATACAGTATTTAAAAAGTGTAATTTACAATTTGCAGTTATCGGCGAACTGAAGTGTGTCTTTTGGTTGCAGATTTTACATGGAAGAGGTGTGTCTCCAGGACAATTGTAGTTGTGTGTGTTGTGTTTGTGTCTGCTACAATACCGAAGTTTAACTCTGTACAGTCCGTGGTAGGAGGATCGGCGTACGTTCTCTTATGTATTATTTTCCCCGTCCTTTTCCACACAAGAATGCGCAAGATCCATGCTGCATGTGACGACCCGATGACCGATAACGATACTATGGGTATTTTATCTGGGAAACAGCGTAATGAGTAAGTAATGAGAAGTAACCGTTTCTAGACTTCCATCCACAGATAATTGGAAATAATGAATATTGATCATGAATCATAAATACACATGTTCAAAATTTTATCATTCAACAAAGTAAAATAAATTTATTTCATTGGCCATACGATTTTGAGATGATCAAAATTATCAAGACATTTGAAGACTTTATTCATCAAATGTTTTCTTTGTAGAGTTACACCACTGTGGAAGAAGGTACTGAACTACGAGATCTTGGGTATAGGGGTAATTGTCGGGGGCACCGCCTCATTGTCCGCCATTTTTAACATCGTTAGTCCTGACTCGTTCACTACGCCTTGCTATGTCAATGCGGACAGCACGTGAATGTATATGTTTTTAGGGTCGATTAATAGCTGTATATAATATATGATCAATGAAGTAATAACAAGAGTACGGACAAGTGAATTGCCAAATTTTCGAGGTAATCTGTCCCTTTATCAATGCACATATATTACATAAATAACATCACATACATAGAAAATAAACATAGACGATGGTGATTAAAATATCAAAAATGTTTTATATCAACCTCGGTATGTTTTGCGATTTTGACACTGAAATTGAAAATAATACATTTTTGATATTTTCATCACCATCTTCCATGCAACAACTTTGGATTTGTTTTGTCCCCTTCGGCGTCCATCTGCCGAAGGGATTATCGAAACACCTAAATTTACACCACCACTCTCGATTAAACTTTATAACTTTGTATTTGCTTTATGTTCTATGTATGTGACGTAATTTATGTAATATTTGTATCTTGATAAAGGGGAAGATTATATCGAAAATTTGACAGTTTAATTGTCCTCACTGTCGGTATTACTTCATATATAACATTGGCAATTTACTATTTAATATTGTCTGTTAGGATCCGGTACCAATATTGGACCATACCGTCGATATAAATAAACAAACACACCTAAAAATAAAAACGAATGCAAAATTTATTTCCTTATTACACCAAGCATACTATTTTCAATTTCGTGTTAAATCTAAGATATCTTAATACCTTGTATAGAAATTGGCAATATATATACAAAGGTGATTATTATCATAATTTCAATTTGATTGGAAATTAAGAAAGAGAAATTGAACAGTTAAATGCCAACTCACACGCACACCACTCACCTCAAACACACACACCAACCACCTCACACAATAATAAAACACATTATCTTAAATGGAACATTCAAAAAACGAAACTTCAATATTACAATCAAGTCTGCTTCTTGTATCTGAATATTATCATTAACAGATTAAAATAACGATCTTAATAAGATTAATAAAATCTTAATAACAGAAAAGAAAAATGCAGTCTAGTAAACATTATCTTGTACGTGTTCACTTTTGTAATACATTCCTGATCCAATGGAACGCGCTGAAACAGAAATGACACCGCATGTCGGAATCCTGTTTGTCATATAAACATTTCCATTTGTGAATACATCGTAATATATGCTTATGATCATATCACGTCAATTCCCATTCATTCTCGCAATCAAATGGTCTTTGGTTAGACAAAATTGTTACTTGTACAAAAATACGAACTGACCATTCCCAGTGCAGAGTATATGACAGTCCAAGGTAGACAAAGAGAAACAGAAAAAAACATATGACGTCAACGCCTTTGGCTTCATTTAGTTTATACAACACAAAAAAGTCTATGACGGGAAAATATTAAAAAACAACAACAACAAACAAACAAATTCTGAACACATAGTAATCACTGTGTTATCAGACAGCATTGATATCAGAGTAACAATAAATCACGGGCAATACATGTAGATCAGGAAATATTTTATCGTGAAATTTACACATCCTAGATCCTTTGTTTGATGTGTCATATCATGTATTTCCTTAAAATATAATCTTCAACTCTCTTGATTTAATCAAACTGTATTTGGTTTTATGACATCGTGTTTGACTGCTTGGTTTAACTAACCAATACTGAAGAAACAAAATTTTGTGGACAAAGGTGCGTTTTACGAGCCTAAGAAAGAGCCTCTTAGTGAACATGAGTACCTACCTGTACATTCTCAATAACCAACTATGAAAATCTTACATACTTGTCTAAAACTAGTGGACACAATTTAACCCGTGTACAAATAAGTATGTACCTGACAAGTTTCTTAATACTCCAGTCTTTTACTAACTTTTAAAATGTCTCAGTTCGTCAGCTTTATCACATTCCATGGTTTTCTTACAACCAAAGTTGTGACAATGCTACGTGCATTTTAATGTTAGCGATTACCGACACAACATTCCGCGACCTCAGATCCAGACCGCTGGCGTTGAATACCACCAAGAAAATTTGAAAAGGTGTGCAATTGGCATCTATTACAATACAATGAAAAAAGAGAGGCTAACAGATTTACTGCAGGACATGATGAAGTGGAAAGCAATGGTAAATAGGTGCCTTTCATCAGTGATACACATTCATTTTAGTAGACACATTTAAAGTAAAAGATACTGACATCAAAAGCAAGCTATAAATGTACAGGATAGAAGCAGATGCTTTCTGCAGGATTTGTTGAAGGCTTGAACAAAACGGGCGATCATGTCTGAATTAGGTATTAGATTTAGACAACATGAATTCAGACAATTTCTATAAGGTACAAACATAAATGAGTCATTGTATATAGCAGTGCAGTGCTCATTATATCCACACATGTATGTATGGTTATCCTAAACAAACGGATTGACATTTTAATGTGTTTGATGCCCACCTTTTAGTTTTCTATAAGTTAGTTCCAAGAAAGTAGGCTTGTCATGGTGGATTTAGAGCATCGTGATGATCAGGATTTCATGTATCCAATAAAAAGATAAAAATCGTCACTAGTGTGTGGTGTTCTTATTCCGTCAGAAAACAGTTACTCTTTGAGCTATATTTTCATTTGAAAATTGTCTCTGAAGTGTCAGTAACATCAGAATAGCAAATTTTTACAACCCCTTGCCAATTATCAAGCCCATTTGAACACCCCACCATTATCAGGACAACCATTTTTAAACTTCGACTATCATTGGGATAGTCAGTTTCAATACCCCACGGACTATCTTCAGGATAGTCAATTTTAATACCCCACAGACCATCACCAAGATAGTCAATTTTAATACTCCACTGACCATCATCAGGAGTCAATTTTAATACTTCACTGACTATCTTCAGGATAGTCAATATTAACATCCACAGACCATCATCAGGAGTCAATTTTAATACCCCACGGACTATCATCAGGAGTCAATTTTAATACCCCACTGACCATCATCAGGAGTCAATTTTAATACCCCACTGACTATCATCAGGATAGTCAATTTTAATACCCCACTGACTATCATCAGGATAGTCAATTTTAATACCCCACTGACCATCATCAGGAGTCAATTTTAATACCCCACTGACCATCATCAGGAGTCAATTTTAATACCCCACTGACCATCATCAGGAGTCAATTTTAATACTTCACTGACTATCATCAGGAGTCAATTTTAATACTTCACTGACTATCATCAGGAGTCAATTTTAATACCCCGCTATCATCAGGATAGTCAATTTTAATACCCCGCTGACTATCATCAGGATAGTCAATTTTAATACCCCACTGACCATCATCAGGATAGTCAATTTTAATACTTCACTGACTATCATCAGGAGTCAATTTTAATACCCCGCTATCATCAGGATAGTCAATTTTAATACCCCGCTGACTATCATCAGGATAGTCAATTTTAATACTTCACTGACTATCATCAGGAGTCAATTTTAATACCCCACTGACTATCATCAGGAGTCAATTTTAATACCCTACTGACCATCATCAGGATAGTCAATTTTAATACTTCACTGACTATCATCAGGAGTCAATTTTAATACCCCACTGACTATCATCAGGAGTCAATTTTAATACCCCACTGACTATCATCAGGAGTCAATTTTAATACCCCACTGACTATCATCAGGAGTCAATTTTAATACCCTACTGACCATCATCAGGATAGTCAATTTTAATACTTCACTGACTATCATCAGGAGTCAATTTTAATACTTCACTGACTATCATCAGGAGTCAATTTTAATACCCCACTGACTATCATCAGGAGTCAATTTTAATACCCCACTGACCATCATCAGGATGGTCAATTTTAATACCCCACTGACTATCATCAGGACAGTCAATTTTAATACCCCACTGACAATCATCAGGATAGTCAATTTTAATACCCCTATTCATCATTTCTTTTTTGAAAATAAATTTATTTCATTAAACCTCAAACATAGATTCCTCTTTTTTGCTTTTTCATGAGAATATACTCACAGAAGGAGTTGGCAGATAAATTTTGCTTCAATTGCTTTATTTATTTTACACAGTTGTGTATCTAGTAAAGTGTTTTGTTATTGGTACTCATAACATCTTGAGTATGATCATATTACATATCTCCTTATTAAGGTACAGATATCAGAGTATAATCATTCCTCGTTTGTATTCCAATTAAGGAAGGCACAAATTAACACCTGTCATTCACAAAATCACAACAGACTTAAATGATGGCACATTACACTGAATACAAATGAAAGCATACATGTACACACTCTGAATCAATGTGACAAATTCAGTTGTATTGCATCATGTCTTTAAATATTTATTCATGCTTATGAAGTTTGATATTAAATCACATTGTAAGTGTTGCCCACTCTTTGACTTCCTCTGATGCAGTTATTTCTCTAAGCTCTAGGTATCTGCGGCTGTTTTCCTCTGTACTCTCCAAGAAATAGCGATAATTCACCATCATACCACATGACTGGTTAATACCTCGCATAGACATATCACCAAGCCAATTGATTCTCCAGAGTACTGCTCCATTACTTAAGTGAAAATTGGCTGAAAAACAGGAAAATTATCCTCTCTTAGAGAAATTAGGTATATATCAGTTAGTTTATAATTCACAAAGACTAAAAGTCCATCAGCAGAGTCTCAAAGATTGAACAAAAGTGAAAACATTTATAAATTATTTCAACTTACAAATTAAAATGATAAAAATTGATACAACAGAGCCAGATAATGAATTAAACTGCATCATACAACTGTTTTTTCTACCTATGACTGACAAGAAGTTGAACTTGAATCTGTAATTTGAAGGTATATTCTGAACTGTGCCATAGTTTAAATAAATAACAACTTCACTACAGGTTTTTCTGTGTGACCAACATCTCACTTACTCATAGATTTACAATGTAAATTGTAAACATACTACCTCAGTTTTCTAAGTCCTGTACATACCTACTGGATTGAGAGCATATCCTCGTCGTTTTTCTGTGTATAAATACCGAGCACAAAGTCGTATTAAAGGTCCTTGTAACACTTGACATACATGTTCATTCGATACCCAAGTGTGGTTTTGTAACACTCCCTTCAAAACAGTCATCATGTTTGCATTTTCTGGCTCCACTATCTCTCGTAATTTCTCAATTTCTGACTGATACAGAAGTGGTGGCTCCACACTCTCTGACAAACCTACAGAGACCATATCAATATATCACACTCTACAGTAAGACACAAAGTATCAAATACCTGTACAAATACACAAAGTATCAAATACCTGTACAAATACACAAAGTAGCAAACACCTGTACAAATAAACAAAGTATCAAATACCTGTACAAATACACAAAGTATCAAATACTAGTATCAAATACTAGCATAAATACACAAAGTATCAAATACCTGTACAAATACACAAAGTATCAAATACTAGCACAAATACACAAAGTATCAAATACCTGTACAAATACACAAAGTATCAAATACTAGCACAAATACACAAAGTATCAAATACCTGTACAAATACACAAAGTAGCAAACACCTGTACAAATAAACAAAGTATCAAATACCTGTACAAATACACAAAGTATCAAATACTAGCACAAATACACAAAGTATCAAATACTAGCATAAATACACAAAGTATCAAATACCTGTACAAATAAACAAAGTATCAAATACCTGTACAAATACACAAAGTATCAAATACTAGCAAAAATACACAAAGTGTCAAATACTAGCGTAAATACACAAAGTATCAAATACCTGTACAAATACACAAAGTATCAAATACTAGCACAAATACACAAAGTATCAAATACCTGTACAAATACACAAAGTATCAAATACTAGCACAAATACACAAAGTATCAAATACCTGTACAAATACACAAAGTAGCAAACACCTGTACAAATAAACAAAGTATCAAATACCTGTACAAATACACAAAGTATCAAATACTAGCACAAATACACAAAGTATCAAATACTAGCACAAATACACAAAGTATCAAATACTAGCACAAATACACAAAGTATCAAATACCTGTACAAATACACAAAGTATCAAATACCTGTACAAATACACAAAGTAGCAAACACCTGTACAAATACACAAAGTATCAAATACCACAAATACACAAAGTATCAAATACCTGTACAAATACACAAAGTAGCAAACACCTGTACAAATACACAAAGTATCAAATACCTGTACAAATACACAAAGTAGCAAATACTAGCACAAATACACAAAGTATCAAATACCTGTACAAATATACAAAGTATCAAATACTAACACAAATACATAAAGTATCAAATACTAACACAAATACATAAAGTATCAAATACTAATACACAAAGTATCAAATATATATATTCTGGCGAGGATGAAGAAAGACACAAGTGGTGAACCAACTTATGATTTTCTGCCCCTATGTTTACTCTCATGTCCATTAAATACTTAATTAACAAAAACCTTCCTAAAAAATGAAAAAGCTAAATCCCAAATACAGCTTTTTTTCTTTTTCTTTACCTTTATTTTTATGATGATCAGAATTTTTTTCACTATTTCTAACTTACTTTCAGCTTTCAGGCTTTTATTAATCTCCATTATCAGCCAGTCCTTGAAACCAGGTATTGGAGACAGACTAGAAAACTTCTGGATATTTGGAAATTCCATTTGAAGTTCCTGAACGGCTTTTTTGATGAGATAATTACCAAGGTCAACACTTTGTAAACCTGTTTAAAACAATAAATAAAAGATTGTAATCTAAACAATGCCCCAATATAAGTCATAAAGGACTTTAATGAATTACCTTTATTGAAATTGTTTTCGACAATAACAAAAAGTATCAGAGAAGACAAGTGAGGAAAACTGTAAAATAATTCACAGTCTGATTTTATGCAAAAAAAAAAATTAAAAATTCATGAAAAGATCCGCTAATGCCCGATACTTTACCTGCAACTACACCTGCTAAAATTTTTTTCATGATGTTTTTTCAACAATACTTCTCCAGAAATTATTTGCTGTGCTGATAATCCAGTCATGATTATCTCCACTTTGATATTTACAAGCATCAATTTTAAAATCAAACAAACATTCCTTACGTTTCCTACAATATCTTGATTTCACCACATCCTAATGAATGTTCGCCATATCAAAGACGTATTAGATGCTTTAGGTACATTTTCCAGTTCAGCTCAAGAATAGTTATCCGTAGATGAAATAATTAATATACAAACAAATTTGATACCAGAAACAATGAATACAGAGGTATGCAGTAACCTTTCTGTGTAGAAGTGATGGAGTAGAACACAGCAGCTGATATTTTTGATGGTTCCTCTGTCAGGCACTCAGCCTCTGTATCAGCTACAGGAGGGCTATCAACCTCTTGTTTTACATGACCTAATGATGGTGTTCTAATGATGGACTGAAATAATAATAAAAAAGCTGAGAATTCATCTTTAACTACAAACAGTGCATCAGGAAGATTTCTTTATGTAAATAAATGACTTTATGTTGTATATAAGATGCTCACAAAACCATTAACTGTCATAATGGAATCAGGTACAAGTAAGGACCACATCATCACTTGCTTGTATTATCAATATGTACATGAGGAAATTCAGAAGAAACTGACTTGAATTTATTAGCTGTCATAAACAGACTCTAAAAATGAATTGTTCAATGTGCACTGTGTTCCACCAATACCTACATGAATACTGGTTGATATGTCCTGTGTGAGAGCCGTGTGGAGAACCACGACCGGTTCTTTGGGCATACTTTTGTGTGTGAAGACATAACATCTACGATATGAGCCCACACGTCGCTTCAAGTCTGCCCAGTTCCTAATAGGGTGCACAGCTTCATAGTCTGATATCTGAAGTTATAACAGCTCTTTCTACACATACGATTTTCTCATACAGTCACAGGTAAATAACAAGACAGATGAAGAATTTTCAGAAAAGAGAGAAAAATAGATTGGGGCCCATCTTCCTTAGATTTACCCCAATATCAAGTCTAGTCTAGATACATGGAGTATATTGACAAAGTACAAGTAAACTTTCTGATGAGATAGCAGTACACAGAAGTTATCAAAGTAATAGACATTCCACCAAGATACACATCATCTCATAAAACTTGAAACTGTTTAAAGTTATGTAACCAAATGAAAACTCAAGAAGTGTGGGTAAATCTATGAAAAATAATAACCTTCTGAACCATGTCACATGATGACTCCCACGTGATACGTTGTAGCTTGAGAAATCCAACAGAAAACCAAAACGTCAACAGCTCCCTTATAGAGTTTTGCAGCACCTTCAGTCTAGCAAACTCTTTCTCACAGTGAATTGTTGAAGCCTTGGTCTGTAACAAAAACAGTGTATAAAAACAGTTGTCAAAAAGCTTGTATTGTTTTCCCCTCAATTTCCCTCTCTGTAAGGCATACAATTAATTACACACAAAAGACAATTTTCAAATTTCTCTCAAGCTTTGCCATTTAAACAGATAATAGTCTAAATGATCAGGCAGCCCAAAGACATCCTCTAAATCTGTTAATATAATGTTAGCATACTGTCTATTTGGTCCTTGATACTAGTTTCCAGAAAGTCAAGTTTTGTAGAAAAGTTTGCAGTAGATGAGAACTGCCTCACTGGTGCCCCTAATTTAGATCCAAGTATAAGGTGAGCAACATACATATGATGTACATTTGAATGTTTTATACAAATCAGTTTAAACTTCAAATGATGAAATAGAATTTACTTTGTAACCTCACTACATATTTGTTATGTTAATGATAGCCTAATGGATTCCACTGTTGAAAATCTCCATTATGTCTTCATTTGATCTTACCAGTATGTCAGCCCTCATATTCACCAGGAATTTGACCCCACCCTCTATTCTGCCAATCTTTTGGAACAGCTGTTGGTAGCGAGGCACGAGAGTGCTACGTAACCGCTCCTCAGACTTCAGTAAAGCTGCTTCACCTCGTCCCTAGAAACAGAGCTATATTTATATAATTTCTTTGATGTGGTGATTCTATATCTTCTGATACCAGCACTAAGGTGTCTGAATATCACATCCTTGTGCTTAGATCACTCAATATTACAAGACATCTTGCTGACACAATATCATATGATATATCAACTAAAGTGATTCAATATCACTCTGTATATTTACTAATATGACTCAACATCACATGATACCTGTGACAAAGTGTTTCCAGATCATCTTTTACCTGTGATAAGGTGATTTCAGGTTATGTTTTACCTGTGATAAGGTAGCTCCAAATTATGTTTTACCTATGATCAGGTGATTCTAGATAATATTTTACTTGTGATCAGATGATTCCAGGTAATATTTTACCTGTGATCAGGTGATTCTAGATAATATTTTACCTGTGATCAGGTAGATAATATTACTTGTGATCAGGTGATAATATTTTACCTGTGATCAGGTGATTCTAGATAATATTTTACCTGTGATCAGGTGATTCTAGATAATATTTTACCTGTGATCAGGTGATTCTAGATAATATTTTACCTGTGATCAGGTGATTCTAGGTAATAGTTTACCTGTGATAAGATGATTCCATGCCATGTTATGTTTTACCCGTCCCACCATAAGTTATATCAAGATGAAGTTTAACCTGTGACAAGGTAACTCCAGATTAAGTTTTACCTGTGATAAGATAATTCCAGAAAATGCTCTACCTGAAATTTGGTGATTCCAAGTTATGTTTTACCTGTGCTAATGTGACTCCTTTTGCAGCCAGCAACACACTGTCCTGATTTACACTGTACTGTTGTGACAAGACCTTCAGGAATGTCAACTTTTCTTCTGCATTAAGGTCACTGTAGTGTTTCACAAACCTCTGACATTTTGCCTGAATATATAAAAACATAAGAAAAAGGTTCACAAAAAAATTATTACTACAGCAACATCTGAAAGGGATTATCTCCCTTTGACCTACAACAATGAGGCAGTTCATAATGATCGGATATGTCATTATATGGCAGTAAGAAAAAGTTTCATAATAAACCTGCATAAGTTTGTATTTACATTTACACCTGTAATCAAAGTCTGACATAATTAGGCAAAAGAGAATGCATTACCTCTGAAGATAAAACGCTGATTTCAGGTGAATTAAACACAGATTCTAAAAAGTGGGAGGTGCTTTCCACATTCCGTACAGAGGACGGGTCACTCCCACCATTCATACTTCGGCATTGGGGAACAGTAATGGTTATACCTGGCATGTACTTCAGATGCTGAAAAAATTATTTGTAATATGTCAACTTAAAACAGATTCATTAATCATTTAAAACTTATCATTTCAATGTCAGAAAAACAAACAATTTGAATTTCAGTAGAGCTGTTGCATTACCAATGTTTGGTACATAATACAAGTCAGTATTTATAAAGTCCTTTCAAATATTTCTTGGCAAGTGTATTTTAATGGTGCTATTAGTTGTTAGTTTGAGGGCTGGGTAAAAATTGTCTTAATTTGTTATTTATGTAAATATACAAGGATATGTTTCAAGTAATCTGTATATCCATAAAATAAGGCCCCTACCAACATTTATCTCAATATATGTTATAGACAGGACACACTGACATCAAAACATCACCAGTTCCTCAAAACATTAAAACATTACACACAGACACCTTAACATCACCAGTTCCTCAAAACATTAAAACATTACACACAGACACTGAAACAACAAAAAGTCTTCAAAACATTAAAACATTACACACAGACACCGAAACAACAAAAAGTCTTCAAAACATTAAAACATTACACACAGACACCGAAACAACAAAAAGTCTTCAAAACATTAAAACATTACACACAGACACTGAAACAACAAAAAGTCTTCAAAACATTAAAACATTACACACAGACACCGAAACAACAAAAAGTCTTCAAAACATTACACACAGACACCGAAACAACAAAAAGTCTTCAAAACATTAAAACATTACACACAGACACCGAAACAACAAAAAGTCATCAAAACATTAAAACATTACACACAGACACTGAAACAACAAAAAGTCTTCAAAACATTAAAACATTACACACAGACACCGAAACAACAAAAAGTCTTCAAAACATTACACACAGACACCGAAACAACAAAAAGTCTTCAAAACATTACACACAGACACTGAAACAACAAAAAGTCTTCAAAACATTAAAACATTACACACAGACACTGAAACAACAAAAAGTCTTCAAAACATTAAAACATTACACATAGACATCAAAACAACAAAAAGTCTTCAAAACATTAAAATATCACACACACCTCAAAACATTAAAACATTACACACAGACACCGAAACAACAAAAAGTCTTCAAAACATTAAAACATTACACACAGACACCGAAACAACAAAAAGTCTTCAAAACATTAAAATATCACACACACCACAAAACATTAAAACATTACACACAGACACCGAAACAACAAAAAGTCTTCAAAACATTAAAACATTACACACAGACACTGAAACAACAAAAAGTCTTCAAAACATTACACACAGACACCGAAACAATAAAAAGTCTTCAAAACATTAAAACATTACACATAGACATCAAAACAACAAAAAGTCTTCAAAACATTAAAATATCACACACACCTCAAAACATTAAAACATTACACACAGACACCGAAACAACAAAAAGTCTTCAAAACATTAAAACATTACACACAGACACCGAAACAACAAAAAGTCTTCAAAACATTAAAACATTACACACAGACACCGAAACAACAAAAAGTCTTCAAAACATTACACACAGACACCGAAACAACAAAAAGTCTTCAAAACATTAAAACATTACACACAGACACCGAAACAACAAAAAGTCTTCAAAACATTAAAACATTACACACAGACACTGAAACAACAAAAAGTCTTCAAAACATTAAAACATTACACACAGACACCGAAACAACAAAAAGTCTTCAAAACATTAAAACATTACACACAGACACTGAAACAACAAAAAGTCTTCAAAACATTAAAACATTACACACAGACACTGAAACAACAAAAAGTCTTCAAAACATTAAAACATTACACATAGACATCAAAACAACAAAAAGTCTTCAAAACATTAAAATATCACACACACCTCAAAACATTAAAACATTACACACAGACACCGAAACAACAAAAAGTCTTCAAAACATTAAAACATTACACACAGACACCGAAACAACAAAAAGTCTTCAAAACATTAAAATATCACACACACCTCAAAACATTAAAACATTACACACAGACACCGAAACAACAAAAAGTCTTCAAAACATTAAAACATTACACACAGACACTGAAACAACAAAAAGTCTTCAAAACATTACACACAGACACCTAAACAACAAAAAGTCTTCAAAACATTAAAACATTACACATAGACATCAAAACAACAAAAAGTCTTCAAAACATTAAAATATCACACACACCTCAAAACATTAAAACATTACACACAGACACCGAAACAACAAAAAGTCTTCAAAACATTAAAACATTACACACAGACACCGAAACAACAAAAAGTCTTCAAAACATTAAAACATTACACACAGACACCGAAACAACAAAAAGTCTTCAAAACATTAAAACATTACACACAGACACCGAAACAACAAAAAGTCTTCAAAACATTACACACAGACACACAACAAAAAGTCTTCAAAACATTAAAACATTACACACAGACACCGAAACAACAAAAAGTCTTCAAAACATTAAAACATTACACACAGACACCGAAACAACAAAAAGTCTTCAAAACATTAAAACATTACACACAGACACTGAAACAACAAAAAGTCTTCAAAACATTACACACAGACACCGAAACAACAAAAAGTCTTCAAAACATTAAAACATTACACATAGACATCAAAACAACAAAAAGTCTTCAAAACATTAAAATATCACACACACCTCAAAACATTAAAACATTACACACAGACACCGAAACAACAAAAAGTCTTCAAAACATTAAAACATTACACACAGACACCGAAACAACAAAAAGTCTTCAAAACATTAAAACATTACACACAGACACCGAAACAACAAAAAGTCTTCAAAACATTACACACAGACACCGAAACAACAAAAAGTCTTCAAAACATTAAAACATTACACACAGACACCGAAACAACAAAAAGTCTTCAAAACATTAAAACATTACACACAGACACCGAAACAACAAAAAGTCTTCAAAACATTACACACAGACACCGAAACAACAAAAAGTCTTCAAAACATTAAACCATTACACACAGACACCGAAACAACAAAAAGTCTTCAAAACATTAAACCATTACACACAGACACCGAAACAACAAAAAGTCTTCAAAACATTAAACCATTACACACAGACACCGAAACAACAAAAAGTCTTCAAAACATTAAAATATCACACACACCTCAAAACATTAAAACATTACACACAGACACCGAAACAACAAAAAGTCTTCAAAACATTAAACCATTACACACAGACACCGAAACAACAAAAAGTCTTCAAAACATTAAACCATTACACACAGACACCGAAACAACAAAAAGTCTTCAAAACATTAAAATATCACACACACCTCAAAACATTAAAATATTACACACAGACACCTAAACAACAAAAAGTCTTCAAAACATTAAAATATCACACACACCTCAAAACATTAAAATATTACACACAGACACCGAAACAACAAAAAGTCTTCAAAACATTAAACCATTACACACAGACACCGAAACAACAAAAAGTCTTCAAAACATTAAAATATCACACACACCTCAAAACATTAAAATATTACACACAGACACCTAAACAACAAAAAGTCTTCAAAACATTAAAATATTACACACAGACACCGAAACAACAAAAAGTCTTCAAAACATTAAAATATCACACACACCTCAAAACATTAAAATATTACACACAGACACCTAAACAACAAAAAATCTTCAAAACATTAAAACATTACACACAGACACCGAAACAACAAAAAGTCTTCAAAACATTAAACCATTACACACAGACACCGAAACAACAAAAAGTCTTCAAAACATTAAAATATCACACACACCTCAAAACATTAAAATATTACACACAGACACCTAAACAACAAAAATTTCAAAACATTAAAATATTACACACAGACACCGAAACAACAAAAAGTCTTCAAAACATTAAAATATCACACACACCTCAAAACATTAAAATATTACACACAGACACCTAAACAACAAAAAATCTTCAAAACATTAAAACATTACACATAGACATCAAAACATGCAAAATTTAACTATCACAATGTTTAACTTAGCACTTAAATTCCAATTTACTATACACATCTCTTAACTTAAATCACAGTATAATCTCCACAACAAGGAAACATAAAAAATTAAAGACATGTTTACCTGTATTTTTCTTTGCATTATGAGGGAAATTGGAGCATTACTGAGAAATTACTACAACAGGCCATACCAAGAACTACGCCTTTATAAGGACACTCAGACCTTGATCTGTTTAAGGAGGCACCCGCACTACTTTGTCGGTATTGCATGGCTGGTTGCAGCCTTTAACAACCTTTAAAGTCTGTGATAAATAAAGCAAAATAAACAACTGATGGAAATTTTTCTTCTGCAAATTTTAGATTGATTATTCAACATGGGAGAGCTGAGGTTAATGACTGTTGGTAGGTTGTCTCGGCTTTATAGATTAATTGAAAATTAACATTTATGTTAACTACAAATTTACAAACCTAGAGGAATAATGGGAATTGAGCAAAAAAATAATTATCAAACACAACAACTGAGCTTGCTTTTGCCTCATATTAGCTAATTAAATAAATGCAATTTGATGAAATGAAATTCCATTATTCAACATGGAAGAGCCAATTTTCAAATTATTGGGAGGAGCAAAAAAATAAACAAACACAACAACTGAGTAATAAATGAAATTCCACTACATCCAATTTTCAAATTATTTTTAGTGTGTATAAACAGATGAGGTTATCGCCTGTAGTGACACATGGAGTTATATGCAGTTTCCTTACCAAATACTAAACATAATCCCATGTTGACATAATCCACTTTGTCTTTTTTAACCAAAAAATGTTCAACTGTTAAAATCAAACCTAAGAAGTCTCTGCTCGTACCTTCAGAAGATGAGTTAACTACAATCAGTTTACAAATATTGAGAGCCTTCTGTGACAAAGGGCATAAAATGATGGGGCATTCAAACTTTGTAAGAATTTACATACATTAAAAGGGCCTGTTTCCATTAATGTTAATTCTCCATAGGAGCCTGCCCCCGTATAATTTCTTATCTAGCTCAACTACTGTTTTTTTCTTTTCCGAAAAAAATTTTTTACACCTTTCCGACACCCAGATTTCATAATTTCAGTGAAAATGTATTTTTTATAAAGTTGTCAATTTCAGCATCAAAGACATAAGTTCGTAAATAAAAGAAGGTTATCTCGAAATTGTAATTCGCAACATAGTATAAATTTCTTTTGATAAATATTTCCAAAACATCGTGTTTATTCATAAAACATAAAAAAAAAATATTCTCGGATGAAAATGCACTTGCAGAGACATAATTATGAAGAAAAATGCCATAAATTTGCAATTTTCTCCCGTTATATAGTTTTGGATGCAAATTTCCATCAGAAAATCGGATAGAGCTTTACTTGTTTCATGTGTGTACCAAAAATCAGCTAATTCCATGTGGTGGAACGTTCTCATATCGCCGCCTGAATGTGGTTGTAAATTGAAAGAAAAGGGGAAATGAGTAACAACCTTGTCTGAAACCCTATTATATAGCTTATTATATACAAACTTTTATATTGAATATCAGAGCGGATATTTTCATGACAGTTTTATGATGTGTAAAAAAAAAAAAATAAAATAAAGTACTGTTTCCCCGTCTCGATCTTGATTACTTGAGAACCATTACGTGTGGAACGTATCAGATATCTCTGGCTCCTGGTTACATCGCGGAACATTTAAGTGATGACGGCGACTATGAGGTGTGGCTTTACCAGCACTCCCCAGACCTTCTCCGATGTCAAATACATTCTCGACACAAAAGCCAAACGAAATATAACGTTTGGATACGGTTCACCGTTTCACCCGATGTTGAGGCCCCAATAAAGGACTACTACTGCCAGTGCCCAGTTGGAGAGAGAACGATGGGAATGTGTGCGCACATCTCCAGTATCTTGTACTACCTTGGGTATTACAGGACGCTGGAAAACCCTCGACCATTACAACCACTGGTAAAGAAATTCCGACAAAACTTGAAATAGTTTTCCATGCGGCAACAATGTGCATATGTCGAAAGTATGTTTGGGGCTCGATATGAAAGATCCCCATTACCATGTGACTAACCAAACTTATAAATATAGGTATTATACAATCGCCCGTAGCTATGAAAACTCCCGTAAATGCGAAAACCAACCAAAATCATAAGGAACACGTTTTGTTTGTTGTTCTGTCTATTTGTCAGCCAATGTCTTCAACCACAGGGACTTGCGAAGTAGCCATCTTGGATTTTTTTATGAAAAAGTGTTTCTCTCACTTTTTTTTCATATCTGTGTACATATTCTCAACATACCGAGCAAATACTCTCGTTTTTTTGTTAATTATCTAAAGAAAGTCGAAAATCGGCAATTCAACCATAGGCTAATTCAACCCAACATTTGAAAATGTTCCACCACTTACATTTTGATGATTTTTCCTCTCATCAATAGCATATTACATACTATTTAATAGGATAAAAATTGGTTTGCATCCAACGCCCATAAAAGGGTGTATTCTCTAAAAAACACAGTTTTTGTGTCTAAAATGTTATCATCGAAAATGGCATTTTTGAGATTGTTTCTTCCATAAAACAGCCAAATGGCGCGATGGAAACATGATTTTTTATTACAATCATGCCATGAATGTATTCTTTACGGTGACAATTATTTGATTAGATTTTCATTAATATTTTACATAACATGCACATTTTATCAACACTTAGATAGCTTCTGAAAGGTACAACTTTGAGGAGCCATAAAAAAACAAACCAAGTGACCTAAATCTTTATACTTTATAGATTTGTGACCACAACGGCATGGGCAATGCACCACCAACAGGAAATTTGAATCAGAGAAGGGGCCGTTTTGGAAACCGGCCCTTTGTAAGAATTCACATGCTTTTTCACCGAATATATGTTTAAATAACGACATTCTCATAATAAATAAATAAATGGCATTTATCTACACATGTCTGCGTGTCTTAGACAGATATGAATAAACTTGTTTTACTTACGTTTTTTCAGAAATATATCATACTTAATTTAGTTTTCTAAAAATATCGTATACCACAGTTTCTTTCAACAGTCTTTCGGTTTGCTATCCTCTGAACTGGCGAAACTCAAAACGTCGAGTAAAATGTATGTTAAGCACGCTGAAAATTTCCGAGAATTGATATAAATAAAGACCGTACATTCGTGGAACTGGAAGGGAAAGTAAAAATCGGATTCCCTGAATTGAACTATGTCAAGTTGACCTACTTTCGGTTTATCAATGGACGTTACCCTCATGGTGATCAGTTGTGATTCTGATAGAAAATGATACCTGTATTATGTACAATCCATACTAACCGTTCGTATAACAAGAAGCCGCTTTGCAGTCGACCTCATGTTGGCTAATACACGTAACGATTGCAATATATTCATACTAGCACAATTTGACAGCCGTCAGGCACGAAATGACCCATGATGTGACCCATTGATTGTGGTTTACGTCACATAAGATGTGTAAAAGCTTGTATCGTTGAAAAAAAAAACATGCAAATAATTACAATAAAAAGTAAGTAATTCTAGGGTTTTGCACTAAATTTAAATACATTGTAAATACTATCTTTTCTATCAATATTGTTCAGGGGATGATGTGTGAACTTTATTTTTTAATTATTTTCGCCTAAGCGACTGCTTTGTGACGTTTTTCACAGAGCAATGACATGCTAGAGAAAGTTTCATAATGTTGCTGTTGATATGCATAAAATGTGGTTAAACTTTTTTAGGTAAATGTGACAAGAAGGGGACGAAGCGGTAACAATTTTAGATAAAGAATATGTTTTTGGTACTTCCCCAGACTGTTCGATATGCGTTTGTACGATCGAGACCAATATGTCCGCGGTGCCTTCAACTTCGGCAGCATGCATCATGGCCTTGGTGCGATACATCGAGAAAACGACCTAGTTGGAGCAAAGCCGTGTCGGACGCAGAAAAGATCGTGGGATATCCGACGTCGTTCATGAGCCTAAGGTGTCTGCTTAGCGATGAAATTTCCAATGTTGCGATGCTTATGAGGAAATTAGTTGGAACAAGACATCCTCTCCTGAAAACTGCAAGGTGACATACATTTTGCTCAGTAATGCTAATTGTTAAATGTTTAACCGTGAATCTTTCTGGCTTTCTGGGGGCCTCTTAATTGGCGAATAAAATCTTAACTGTATTGTAATTGTGGTCTTCTTATAAACAGCTCGGGGACGGGGCATACATTTCCGTATGATACGCGAATTAGACTAGCCTTTTATACGAATAGGGGTATGTGTTTGCGGACAAAAAATTAAATTCGAGAGAGATAATCAGAATCCTTCAGACTACTTGGAAATGAGAAGGATATTTGTCTGAATTTGTGATTCCACACTGGTCATTTGTTTTCCGTGTTTGCTGTGTCATGCTGGGTTTACCATCTGATAAACAGCAAGGGCCTTGATGAGACGGTAGTAGCTGGTGACTACCACACTGAACAACATACACGAGGCTCATGACATGCAGTGTACGTGTAGTCGTGTACGGAACATTATTACGGAACTGGATTGGTGTACTATTATAATAAACTGTATCGTATTTTCATTCCCAAATTCTTTGTTCTATATGTAACAAATCACAAATGTGATAACTAGTTCTGTTGTATTATCTACTTCTAGAGGTCTTGTTGTGGATGGAAAATATAACATGCAGACCAGAGGACTCATTGTACTCCTTATATCTAAATCAGCAGGGGCTGTTCAGAGTGTGTTCCATAACTCATCAGATCCAGATATAGTTGATGGCATTCACAAAAGGTTTGTTTGCTACAAATGTTCACATTTTATATGCATACATACTTATGAATTATTCACAAATTACATCCTCTATTGTACAATTGTATTATATGTGAATCTGTTGAAGAAACTGAAACATTATTGTGATTGTGATTTGATTATCAGATACAATGTTTTCATTTGCTGTATATTGTTATATCATTGTTACAATTTCCTTAGTACTGTAGGATTCAAATGACTGATTATTTAATGATGCAGGCCTCCAATTTAACATTTTTTGTTACTTGCTGAAAACAGCAAGTGCCTTAAATTTGTACTTGCTAAAATGACTTTACTTGCTATTATCGCAAATCTCCATGTTCAAATAATTTGTTTTTTGTGATTTATAATGTATTATCTTGCTTCATCCAATACATATCAATATTATAGAAGGACTGCTTTGTCCCAATATTTACACTTTGAAAATAAAAACAATTTAATTCTGTGAAATGTTAGGAATAGACAGGCACTCACAATTTGCATCTGATGAATCCACTTGCTGAAAAAAGCAAGTCATTATTTTTTTCTTCTTGCAATTCTTGGATTTTTGCTTGTAAATAGCCAGTAAAAAGCCTTAAATTTGATGCCTGTGATGAACACTCCAAGTCCATGATTTATTTAAACTTGGATTTACATGCATGGGTATATATCATCTCAACACGATTCTGTAGTACAAATTTATAAATGTTAAGAACAAGACAATTTTTACTGATTTTTTTTTTTGGACAACAATGTATGGGAATAGATTATATGCTTTCCCCATCATCATCCTATAACAATGGCCTCATGTACAATGTGTCATATTTGTATAATGTCTTTTCTCTCATCTTTGTATTGGAATAGAAATATGTTTATACCCAGCCCCTAACTTTTACCCATTGATTCAACAGTCAGCGGACATTAGCAGAGATTACGGAGATGATCTACACAGCAAACCTGATCCATAAAGGTGTGATCAACCTCTCGGCCCTCACACCAGAAGATGGCCCTGCTCAGGACATGGAGTTTGGAAACAAAATGGCAGTTCTTAGTGGAGACTTTCTATTGGCTAGTGCCTGTACAGGATTAGCAGAACTGAACAATACAAAGGTGAAGTGATAAAGTGCTCTCATTGAGTGCTATATATTTTGCAACATGATTATTTATACTTATATGAATTTTTATGTCATTCATTTAAGAAATATTGACTTAAGACACATAATAGAGCCAAATGAATTTTTATGTCATTCATTTAAGAAATATTGACTTAAGACACATAATAGAGCCAAATGAATTTTTATGTCATTTATTTAAGAAATATTGACTTAAGACACATAATAGAGCCATTTCATGATGACAACAATTACATAAATGAAAACATTTTTATTTACTGGGATATATGGTATATAATTTAATGGTAATTGCAGATATTCTAGTCTTTTCTTATGTCTCTATTTTTCTTATGTCTCTATTACATCTTTAATTTGAATAAAGATATCCTCTGGCTGTTCATTTTCAATTGCTTGCTCAACACCAATTTTTTTCAGTTAAAGAGGAACATATTTTTAATACTAATTTATATGTCCTGTTCAGGTTGTTGAAAACATATCCTTGGCCATTGGTAATCTGATGGAATCCGAATTCACTGACCTGCGAGATAAGGATGGAAAACCAGTACTGCCAACAAGTATTAGGTTTGATGATTGGATGCAACAGACATTCCTGGCATCCGGAAGCTTACTGGCCAGAAGTTGTCAGTCAGCCATGGAACTTTGTAATCATGACAAACAGGTCTTACACGCTGCCTTTACCTTTGGGGAAAACATGGCATATGCACACCAGGTAGATTATTGTTTTATGTTAAGGGAGCTATTTAAACAGTAGAACCAGGTAGATTATTGTTTTATGTTAAGGGAGCTATTTAAACAGTAGAACCAGGTAGATTATTGTTTTATGTTAAGGGAGCTATTTAAACAGTAGAACCAGGTAGATTATTGTTTTATGTTAAGGGAGCTATTTAAACAGTAGAACCAGGTAGATTATTGTTTTATGTTAAGGAAGCTATTTAAACAGTAGAACCATAGAGCGCTATTTATTTACATTTAAGTATAAATGGAGGTTACAAGCAGAATAGTTAATACTGCTATACAATATATAAGGTATCTCAAAATATTTTCTGCTGACTAGTAGTATATGTTTCATAGATGTTCTTAAAACACAACATACGAGTATCTAATTGGTTGTGATATATGAAAGTCTATTTGCTATGCAATGTGATTGTTATTGAAGAAGTATATGCTCTGTTCCAAAGTAGATTGTTATTGAAGAAGTATATGCTCTGTTCCAAAGTAGAATTTGAAATTCAAGAGTTTTTCCTCTTGAAAGCATTGCATTTTGGAATGCAAGTCTGATATAAGTTTTACATAGATATACAATTTTAAGTATATATATCATTTCTCTTGGACACTCGTCGAAAACCACCAATGCTTATGGGTATGATTTGTACTGTGTCAGATGCAGGAGGATCTGAAACCATTCCTGAATCCACAAGATCATTTACCTGAATTAACCCTGACTTCTGCTCCTGTCATCAAATATCTAGAACACAGTCAAACGCCAATAGACACCTTTAACTTTAAAAAGGTAGGATACCAGAGTCTGATGTGTATTAGTTGTGTGAATCCTTTACATAAGTATGTTCATTCATCTGCCAGCAGGAATGTGTTTTAGAAATATTTATTAATTGAAGCCTTGTTTAACAAAAGGTTGCAAATAATTAACCTTTTTAAATCTATAATTATAGTTAAATATTCTCTTTTCATCAAATTCCTCTGAAAAACTAACATTTGTTATTTTTCATTCTATTTCAGATTGTGTCACTAGTGAAGGAGAGCAAGGCAGTAGAGGAATGTGAACAGCTTTGTTTAGAGTATGGAGAGAAAGCTAAGGCAGCTTTGAATGTGTTTCCAAAATCAGACGCTCATAATGCATTAATAAATATAGTGAATGCTACTGCTGTCTCGTAACCAGTGTTCTGTGTGAGTGCGTGTGTGGACAAATGTTTAAGGCTTTCATTCGGTGTTGTAGAGATGACGTTTATCACTAACTGTTTTGATTGTGATTCATTTGTGATGATTATCGGGTATACTGTTTTCCCAAAGGAGAATGGTTCTATTTCATGTTGCTCTGGACGTAATTGTCAGAACAGAAATCTTTAACTTAGTTAAGAACATGTTATTTTTGTATATGAGTTGAATGATCCAGAGAACAAAATTGCATAGATAATATGTTGTAACTAAGTTATTGTATCAGATATCACTAAACAACTTTGGTAAATGTTAACTGTAACTTGTTTTTGCAATATAATTTTCAGATTACATTTGGATTTTGTCATTTTGTACACAGTCATATTACTGGATTTCTTGATGAACAATCAACTATCATTGGGCTTAGATATATAGGTAAGGTAGAGAAACAATGTTTTTTTTTTGAAAAAAATACCATTCCACAATTCTGAGATTAAGAATACATGACCTGAGAAGCTAAAGTTGGAAGTTTTGTGTTTAGCTCAATTTCTCATCGAGCACTTAAATGTGTATTCCAAAATGCAATATACTTACCAGTAATGTAATGTATACTGTAGTTTTACATACTGTATACTGTAGTTATACATGTTGTATACTGTAGTTATACATACTGTATACTGTAATTATACATGCTGTATACTGTAGTTATACATACTGTAGTTATACATGCTGTATACTGTAGTTATACATACTGTATACTGTAGTTATACATACTGTAGTTATACATGTTGTATACTGTAGTTATACATACTGTATACTGTAATTATACATGCTGTATACTGTAGTTATACATACTGTGTACTGTAGTTATACATACTGCAGTTATACATGCTCTGTAGTTATACATACTGTATACTGTAGTTATACATGCTGTATACTGTAGTTATACATACGGTAGTTATACATACTGTATACTGTAGTTATACATACTGTAGTTATGCATACTGTATACTGTAGTTATACATACTGTATACTGTAGATATACATGCTGTATACTGTAGTTATACATACTGTAGTTATACATGCTCTTTACTGCAGTTATACATACTGTATACTGTAATTATACATGCTGTATACTGTAGTTATACATACTGTAGTTATACATACTGTAGTTATACATGCTGTATACTGTAGTTATACATACTGTATACTGTAATTATACATGCTGTATACTGTAGTTATACATACTGTAGTTATACATACTGTAGTTATACATGCTGTATACTGTAGTTATACATACTGTAGTTATACATGCTGTATACTGTAGTTATACATACTGCAGTTATACATGCTGTATACTGTAATTATACATGCTGTATACAGTAGTTATACATACTGTAGTTATACATGCTGTATACTGTAGTTATACATACTGTAGTTATACATACTGTATACTGTAGTTATACATACTGTATACTGTAGTTAGCTGTATACTGTAGTTATACATACTGTATACTGTAATTATACATGCTGTATACTGTAGTTATACATACTGTAGTTATGCATACTGTAGTTATACATACTGTATACTGTAGTTATACATGCTGTATACTGTAGTTATACATACTGTAGTTATACATGCTATATACTGTAGTTATACATACTGTAGTTATACATACTGTAGTTATACATGCTGTATACTGTAGTTATACATACTGCAGTTATACATGCTCTGTAGTAATACATACTGTATACTATAGTTATACATGCTGTATACTGTAGTTATACATACTGTAGTTATACATGCTGTATACTGTAGTTATACATACTGTAGTTATACATACTGTATACTGTAGTTATACATACTGTATACTGTAGTTATACATGCTGTATACTGTAGTTATACATGCTGTATACTGTAGTTATACATACTGTAGTTATACATACTGTATACTGTAATTATACATACTGTAGTTATACATACTGTAGTTATACATGCTGTATACTGTATTTATACATACTGTATACTGTAGTTATACATACTGTAGTTATACATGCTGTATACTGTAGTTATACATACTGTAGTTATACATGCTGTATACTGTAGTTATACATACTGTAGTTATACATACTGTAGTTATACATGCTGTATACTGTAGTTATACATACTGTAGTTATACATGCTGTATACTGTAGTAATACTTGCTGTATACTGTAGTTATACATGCTGTAGTTATACATACTGTAGTTATACATGCTGTATACTGTAGTTATACATACTGTATACTGTAGTTATACATACTGTAGTCATGCATGCTGTATACTGTAGTTATACATTCTGTATACTGTAGTTATACATACTGTAGTTATACATGCTGTATACTGTAGTTATACATACTGTATACTGTAGTTATACATGCTGTATACTGTAGTTATACATACTGTATACTGTAGTTATACATGCTGTATACTGTAGTTATACATGCTGTATACTGTAGTTATACATGCTGTATACTGTAGTTATACATGCTGTATACTGTAGTTATACATGCTGTTAACTGTAGTTATACATGCTGTAGTTATACATACTGTATACTGTAGTTATACATGCTGTATACTGTAGTTATACATACTGTAGTTATACATGCTGTATACTGTAGTTATACATGCTGTTAACTGTAATTATACATGCTGTATACTGTAGTTATACATACTGTAGTTATACATGCTGTATACTGTAGTTAAACATGCTCTGTAGTTATACATACTGTAGTTATACATGCTGTATACTGTAGTAATACTTGCTGTATACTGTAGTTATACATGCTGTAGTTATACATACTGTAGTTATACATGCTGTATACTGTAGTTATACATACTGTATACTGTAGTTATACATACTGTATACTGTAGTTATACATACTGTAGTCATGCATGCTGTATACTGTAGTTATACATTCTGTAGTTATACATACTGTATACAGTAGTTATACATGCTGTATACTGTAGTTATACATACTGTATACTGTAGTTATACATGCTGTATACTGTAGTTATACATACTGTAGTTATACATGCTGTATACTGTAGTTATGCATACTGTATACTGTAGTTATACATGCTGTATACTGTAGTTATACATACTGTATACAGTAGTTATACATGCTGTATACTGTAGTTATACATACTGTAGTTATACATGCTGTATACTGTAGTTATACATGCTGTATACTGTAGTTATACATACTGTAGTTATACATGCTGTTAACTGTAGTTATACATGCTGTATACTGTAGTTATACATGCTGTAGTTATACATACTGTATACTGTAGTTATACATAATTTATGTTGTAGTATGGGCATCTGAACCTATCAAAAATAGTACACGAATTAAAATATTTTGTGTTTTGAAAGCAAAATTATTAGACTCAGAGATCCTGATTCACATCAGATGCAATTTTTAGTTATATTGAAACAAATAATGTAAAGAATTGGACAAGTTTTCCTGGTTATGAAGGGTGGTAGATTTTTGGTGAAACTGCCACCTCTGAATAAATTTCCAGAGAATGCAAGATTTGTAAAATGTTCTATTCGTGTTTTACAATGCATCAGTATTTAATTTACTTTGTGTGTTTTTAATCTGATCAGTTACACAAGTATAATGATTCTAAGATTTATCGATAGAATCACATTCTTGACTCTCTGTCATAAGTGTAATTATAAATATATATCAATGTAAGCATAAGGAAATACATACTCCACCATAAGTATGGGGAAATATTTCCAATGTAAATGTGGTCACAGACGCAAGTAGAGGGACAGTCATATTTCCATCAAGTACATGGGGAAATTTATATTTCAACTTTGAATATAGCAAAATTTATACCACCATCAGTAGGTTAACAAAAGGGTAATTTATATCTCAACCTTAAATAAAGGGAAATTATATCTCAACCTTAAATAAAGGGAAATTATATCTCAACCTTAAATAAAGGGAAATCATATCTCAACCTTAAATAAAGGGAAATTATATCTCAACCTTAAATAAAGGGAAATTATATCTCAACCTTAAATAAAGGGAAATCATATCTCAACCTTAAATAAAGGGAAATCATATCTCAACCTTAAATAAAGGGAAAGCATATCTCAACCTTAAATAAAGGGAAATTATATCTCAACCTTAAATAAAGGGAAATCATATCTCAACCTTAAATAAAGGGAAATCATATCTCAACCTTAAATAAAGGGAAATCATATCTCAACCTTAAATAAAGGGAAAATCTCAATAAATGAACCTTAAATAAAGGGAAATTATATCTCAACCTTAAATAAAGGGAAATCATATCTCAACCTTAAATAAAGGGAAATCATATCTCAACCTTAAATAAAGGGAAATCATATCACAACATTAAATTAAGGGAAATCATATCTCAACATTAAATAAATGGAAATCATATCTCAACCTTAAATAAAGGGAAATTATATCTCAACCTTAAATAAAGGGAAATCATATCTCGACCTTAAATAAAGGGAAATCATATCTCAACCTTAAATAAAGGGAAATCATATCTCAACCTTAAATAAAGGGAAATTATATCTCAACCTTAAATAAAGGGAAATCATATCTCAACCTTAAATAAAGGGAAATCATATCTCAACCTTAAATAAAGGGAAAGCATATCTCAACCTTAAATAAAGGGAAATTATATCTCAACCTTAAATAAAGGGAAATATATCTCAACCTTAAATAAAGGGAAATCATATCTCAACCTTAAATAAAGGGAAATCATATCTCAACCTTAAATAAAGGGAAATCATATCTCAACCTTAAATAAAGGGAAATCATATCTCAACCTTAAATAAAGGGAAATCATATCTCAACCTTAAATAAAGGGAAAGCATATCTCAACCTTAAATAAAGGGAAATTATATCTCAACCTTAAATAAAGGGAAATCATATCTCAACCTTAAATAAAGGGAAATCATATCTCAACCTTAAATAAAGGGAAATCATATCTCAACCTTAAATAAAGGGAAATCATATCTCAACCTTAAATAAAGGGAAATTATATCTCAACCTTAGATAGATAATGTGTAAGAATAAGATCAGAACAGAAGCAGTTTATGCCACGAAATGGTCACAAAGATAATATATGGTTGTTAAACGAGTAGGTCAAAGAATTGTTCTCAAGATAAGCGAAGAACCTCAAATTCAGTTTTTGATACAGTATATAGCCGTACAATGACGAAAACGGTAGGATACAGTTTCTTCGACCTTCTAAGGCTCGCTAGTCATACAGCCGTTTCGTCCTTCCGAGACTGATGACGATACAGCTGTTTCGTCCTTCAGTGACTCGATAGTGGTACAGCTGTTTCGTCCTTCTTAGACTCGATAGTGTTACAGCTGTTTCGTACTTCAGTGACTCGATAGTGATAGCTGTTTCGTCCTTCAGTGACTCGATAGTGATAGCTGTTTCGTCCTTCTGAGACTCGATAGTGTTAGCTGTTTCGTCCTTCTGAGACTCGATAGTGCTAGCTGTTTCGTCCTTCTGAGACTCGTTAATATTACAGCTGTTTCGTCCTTCTGAGACTCGATAGTGTTAGCTGTTTCGTCCTTCTGAGACTCGTTAGTATTACAGCTGTTTCGTCCTTCAGTGACTCGATAATGGTACAGCTGTTTCGTCCTTCTGAGACTCGTTAATATTACAGCTATTTCGTCCTTCTGAGACTCGATGGTGTTAGCTGTTTCGTCCTTCTGAGACTCGTTAGTATTACAGCTGTTTCGTCCTTCAGTGACTCGATAGTGGTACAGCTGTTTCGTCCTTCAGTGACTCGATAGTGATACAGCTGTTTCGTCCTTCAGTGACTCGATAGTGTTAGCTGTTTCGTCCTTCAGTGACTCGATAGTGGTACAGCTGTTTCGTCCTTCAGTGACTCGATAGTGATAGCTGTTTCTTCCTTCAGTGACTCGATAGTGATAGCTGTTTCGTCCTTCAGTGACTCGATAGTGATAGCTGTTTCGTCCTTCAGTGACTCGATAGTAATACAGCTGTTTCGTCCTTCAGTGACTCGATAGTGATACAGCTGTTTCGTCCTTCAGTGACTCGATAGTGATAGCTGTTTCGTCCTTCAGTGACTCGATAGTGATAGCTGTTTCGTCCTTCAGTGACTCGATAGTGATAGCTGTTTCGTCCTTCAGTGACTCGATAGTTTACAGCTGTTTCGTCCTCCAGTGACTCGATAGTGATAGCTGTTTCGTCCCTCTGAGACATTATACATTTGATGTTCTTTTGAAATGATCCTATGATGAAAACTTTCAAAATATATGAATTCAAACTTAATGCATCGACCCATAGATATCCGACATTCATTTCGACCAAGTTTGTTTTTCAGTTTACGTCGCCTACTTTGTATAAAGATTTCAGTCCCCAAATCTCACTGGCGATTTAGTCGTTCAAATCTGCGATCACTTTGTCGATACTATTTAAGAAATACAAATATGCTGCTGGGAGAGGTAATTAAAATGCATCTTAATGCGTATATGGTAAAGTTAATTTGGGTAATAACAATTATAGATCTACATGTTTTGGTACAATTGTGGTAGAATTGTAAATCCGTTCACGATATGTATGTCTCGTTACTGGTCATATTACTGGAAAAGAACTCCAGAGTGTACCTGTTTTTAACACGTCTGATAAGTCTCGACGTGATGAGATCCGCTCAAGACTTTGACCTTTCTGTGTTGTAGCCGCGATAACACACATGCTCTTCTTGTAGTACATTTAAATATGATGCAAGTATAAGTAGGAGATTGCTTGTATATGTACATCGTATCGCCTCGGCGCTAGATTCACTCAAAAGATTGTTGTAAAAATTAGAATAAGATACAGTAGAGCTAACTAATTAATTAAAACAGCACCATACACAGAACACATAAGCGAGTATAGCTGAACAACTTCTTCAGTGATACTAGAGACCAAATGTGAGGTAAAGGAGAAAAATTCAGATTGACCGAAACAAATGTTAGATAAATGAGGTGACTTACTGCTGGTCTATGAACCTCCACAGGAAGAGTTGGTCGACTGTGCTGTGTTAATTACAGTGGGATATATGCTTAATTTTTGTGCTGCTATGTAAATGTTTTGTCTCCTTAAAATGTATAATCTACACGAATTTAATACTCTGACCTCTGACCTACTGAAACTGAATTGCGCAATAATGTTAATGGTAAATATATATAGAGATGTATGGGTTATGCCGTAACGTCATGCCATGTAAACGAAAGACTTCCGCCGACAGGATATGCTGTATGAACGACACGCTCTTCAGAATTGTTTTGTAATACTTTATTAGACTAAAGGGACGTCAATGTACACATGTACGTTGAAGTTTAACTATGTCAGAAAGGCAATATTATAAAGGTTACCATGTCTTCATAGTATACCGGGTACGTTTAGGTAGTCTCGTGTCCTTGGTCAACTAGATAATTCCAAGCAAACAGAAGTGATTAGGATGTTGCAAGATAGCACAGACTTTATAACTGTTTAACCATAGGTATCCGTATCAATAATAAGCAAGTACAAACATGTATACATTTATATATACTGCATATATGATTACAGCAATTTATGGTACATATTTGATTCTGCGCATCAGATATTTTAAAATTCAAGTTTGAAACATCTATTTTTTATTTTTCCCCATCCTGTTATTTGTAAGGATACCGTGGAACTTTGAAATGATATTGTATACATGAAATGTAATAAGATATTTTAAAATGTGGTCATACATAATAACCATCTCTACTTTAATATCAAAAGAGCATGGACTCGAAGCTTGAGAAAGCGGTCACAGGAACTTGTCTACCAAGTACACAGAATAAAACAGGCAGATAATTTCAAGGTAGATTATAAGCAACTTATACAAAGAAATTTAAAAACAAAATTGTAATAAATTAATTGCTGATGGTTTGAAGGTCAAGTTATACTACAGTCGAACTCCGTATAACTCGAAGGCCTCGTTCACTTCGAAACATTTCGTCGGTCCCTGCGTTTTCTTTTGTTTGTTTGTATTTTTTCATTCTACATTAACGGAATAAAACTCTTGTGAAGAAATATGATCAATATTGCCCTGACTAGCAATATAGACTATCCAAACTAAAAATATAACTAAAGTTACACCTTGTACATTCTTGATTGTCATTCAGTAATATATTTATTAACGAAAGATATGTAAGTTGGACTGTGAGATAAGTACACCTTCTCTGATATTATAATGTTTTTTGAGCGATTTGGATTTTCCAAAATTTCCATCCTAGTATTACTGAAGAGACACAGAAAGAACAAAATGGTTGTATTGTCCAATTCAATGCATTATAAGGCACACCTGTTGATAGATTCCCATTTTGTTGTATTTTTCGTTTATGAGGTAATATCGGAAAAACAGGTTAGGAAATTGGCCAGTTTCGATTTTCACCATCTCCCTGCTTGTTTTCCACACTTTCGGCCACCAGTACCATTGCAGAGTCCAAGGAAGATGATGGGCGTAGTATTCATTGATCACTCGTCATATATTTTGCCCATCATTAACAGGATAATTTACATGTTAATTGGATTGATTTACACTGATACTTTTTCATCACAAATCATTTGTTTTATTAGCTTTATTACAAATAACAAACATTGAACTACAAAAAGCGATATATTGACAAGATGCTGGTAATGGAACAATATTATTGTGTAGCTGTGTTGTTCATGATTTCATTGCAAGGTACACGAAGAGGAAGTAGGTGGCGCTGTCAATGAAGGTTCTGAACATGTGACGATAATTCCATCGATCAATGGCACCACGGACCCAAGTTTCACCTGTAAAATAAAGACATGCAAAATTGATACATCAACCATTTTTCAGTGTTACACAAATTTCTTGTACATAGATCCTACCTGTTTGAACAAGGAAAATGGTTTTTCGTTTTCGGGGAAAAAATCCTATATTTTTTCAAAGTAAAAGGTGTTAAAACATATCACAAATCGACGAAGGCCGGAATAATATGTTTTATCAATGTCTACTTCGAATTATAGCTCAGAAATGATCTTTTGTAACACTGAGATGGACTGTTTGGTCGATGTTTTAATTTTCGTATGCTTTTCAATATAAGTGGTTATTACACATATAACTGTGCTAGACTGTAAGGAATATTAAAGGTATACATTGATACCTTTCTTTTCGACCACTCCTTCGTCCAGTAGGATGTTGATCTCCGGGAGCATCATTACTACCGTGTAGACACCTCCAAGTACAAACTGGACGGGTCCAACCAGCCAGTGGTACTTGTACTCGGAATCGTCAAGGAAAAACAGGGCCGTCGAACATCCAAATCCTATCAGGCCGATCGACGGCTACACAAGAAAAAGTTGAAACATGTACAGGCACATATACATACAATTACCCATAATACCTGTATCTTAACGCATAGAACCAACAGGAAAACAGTAATGCTTTATAAATACAATTATTGTGTTTTGATAAAGAAATCGTAGGATTTAGTGGAACCTGTCTGAATAATGAAGTTACCCCTATATATATAATTAAATAAGATATAATTTCACAGGGTTTCTTTCCTGTTTCAGTGTTTTGAAGTTCAAATGTACAACAGGTGTTGTTGCCAACTCCTAAAATCATTTATATATGGACTGTCTCTATCTTAGCATACTTTGTTAGTTATTGTATTTTTTATTGTCTGTCAATCTTAGCTCACAATTAATTCAAGCACAAAGTATTTTATTAGAATACAATTTGTAAACACACAAAGTTTGTACTAGAAGTTGGAACCACGTGTAAGAGTGGAATAGTTAACAATATATTATTTCTTTATTGGTGCTATATTTAATCATTATCCCTGGTACATGTACCTGTGTCTTTAATTATCTACATTTTAATGAAATTGAAATCAAATTTGCGAGTAAGGTAGATAATCAGGTAACATTGCTGATTTACTTATAAATTAATTATCAAGTATTTCTCGGCGTTGTTTGTAGGGCAGTTAATCCCCTGATAACCACGGATAAGTTATTTAAAAGATAAACTACTAAATATTATGATTATTTCTATCAATTTTAGGTTGTCACGATTAAACAACTACGTGTAACCCGCACATGTAAATGTTTTGTATAGTAAGTTGTATTACGTAATTTACACACACCGCTAACAAGAAAAACAGCCGGTTTCGTGGAACCTGACATTACATCCTGGAATTTTATAACGAAATAACAAGAATTCTGTGTAATTACTTAATAGATGTTTACATTAACGATCAATTGATGACAGTTAAAACATCCTGGATAAAACCCGTTCAGAACTTACTACGTTTCCATTTTTAGCGAGGGAAGTTTTCTCGTTATAGCTATTAATATGGTAAGGACACTTGTACATGACTAAGTTTTCGAGGAAATGATCATCCCTCCATCGCTTTCCCTGTAAAGCCATCGTCACACATCCTTATCGGATGGTTAATGTTAATCAGGAAATCTTCACTTTAATACGTTTTTCTCTTTTTTTTTTTTTAATTTTTTTTTGAAAGCCGAGTCACATACACAAGTATTTGCTCAAGAATGAATACAACGATCTTGAACATAAGTTTAGCTGCGATTTGATTACGTATGAAAATGTTTTTTTACTTGAAATAGATTGTCAGACGATAGCACACTGTATTTTTTAGCTGATAGATGATATGTACAATGTAGTGTGTGTGTAAGACATCCAATTAATTTTGTATTTGAATACAGAGGGCACAGTCATGTGACTAGATATCTCAATACGTTATCTTTAATCTGTAGTGGCAAAAATGATTTGAAGATGACAGACTATGACCGATATAAAGCGATCTGTTATATCCTGGTCCAGAGAAACTTAGAAATCACCTTTACACTGAAAGCACTTGACAATAGCTCACGGAACAAAAATAAGAAAACCAATAAGATTAAGTGTGGTTTTTATTTTAAGGAATTTGCACCGTGTAACAGTTTTCTTTCTATCAACGTACATCGACAAAATATCTTTAAAAATATCTAAACTTCGATGATAAAATGTAAAAAGCATGCTACAATTTTAACATTTATTCGTCATTAAATAGGGAACGTTTTGGCACTGGGAACAGAAACACATTCATATCCAACATACATGTATTTAGCAAAAACAGATATTTTTATATAATGTATAATTAGAATAGAACGAATTGACTTGAGCAAGTCTATACACTATACATAACTTTACAACACGCTATATTGTAACAGAAATACACAGATGGTATGTGCAGGTGTTATACTTTGCTTGACTTGTTTTAGCGGATTAAAACCTTGACCTTTACTTCTGCTACAATGAATCCGTGGCTACAGATTCCCGATAACACAATTTATAAAATTATATGCCAGCCCGTGCTCAACATACTACCTTCCCTATGGTTCTTGTCAATATGAAATGGATCATTTTCGGTAACGCAGGGTTTTATATGCAATATCCATGATGTATGTATACATGAAACTAATTTCTACATTTGCCTCCTTACCAGGAACTTTTTAGCAATATTAAAGCTGTTGGCCCACTGTTCTCTCTGAGCCTTCACTGGAAGCGGTCGGCGACTGTAATGCTCCACTCCATTAATATATAATGCTCCACCTGAAAACAGCCCCATCGCAGTCGCTGCTCCAAACTTTAAGCCTTCCACTAAGGTAAACATATTTATGTATCGTTTAAGTTCTGATTTATACTGATCCTGCTGCACTTTTTTGGCGTACGTGAGTGAACACAGCAAACCACAAGTCTCGGTAGTCTGAATTACGGCAGCGAGTCAATGTAAGTTCGGTAGGCAGAGTGTACCTTTGTAGGCCATTTAACAAATAGTTCTTTCACCGACACAATCTGCTGCACTAAATAAACACCAAGGTTTCTTTCCTAATACAAGAATTGTGTGGAGCGTCAAGTTCACAAAAAGGGTAGATTTTATATCAAAGTAGGTCAAGCTTAGAGCTCTCACCGTGTGCACACTTCACTCTCCTTTGGTTGCCCTTACCTGTCATCGTCATTACCTCGTGAATGATTTGAAATATGAAGGTCATTGTCAACTCTCCCTGTTTATTTTTGATTACATTCTCATATCATGTCAAGACGTAAGGCTAGTTCCCTTTACAGGAACTTGTCATTCCTCACTGTTGCTCTTACAATACAATGTACGTCGTCCTCTTTTCTAACGTACCATCGTCACTCTCCTCGTACATTTTGTACCCGTGATATTGTTATATTTATATTACAACAAAATTATATAATATGTTTATAAGAATACATGAAATATATAGTTAACCTAATTACTTATACATCAATATCTTTGCTGTTGCTGATGTGAAGGGAGACTCAAATGTATTATTCATTTCCGACATAATTATAATCTTTCACCAAGCTGATATTCTAAACAGAATGTCTGATAACTCCATTGATGTTGACGATTGCGTTCCACACTTTGAAACAGCAAGAAAACAATACAGCACAACCGTCGTTACGTCTAGAACTCGTTTGATTGTTTGGCGGGAATCCCAGCGATCCATTACAGCACGTGTCAATATGACACCTGTAAAAATTGGAATGGAAGTGAGTGACTTATTGGTAAGGGGCAGAAACCAAGGCTCTTCAGCCGTGAAAGCATCATAAAAAATAGTTAATTAATCAATTAATATGTACATGTTGATATCTATATATGTTACCAATAGGTTTAACTTTAATTAGACCACCGTGATTGATGGCTAATTGAAGTTGGATGGTGGTTTGACTCCGCTTTCCTGAAATTTCAAAAGTTATAGTTGACGTTTATTGCCATTCATGTTAATTTTACCATTTTTCCTTATCATGTCATTGTGCATTGGGAGCGATGTCTTTTTCAGTTTCGTCAAGGCGTACCCGACAACGTAAAGGACGGGCCCGGCTAACCAGCTGTACCGTAATGTATTATCAGCAGCCTCAGCAAAGAACAAAATGATGCTTCCGGTAACGGGGATGATTTGGAACCACTTAAAATAAAAGCATTCATTCTTGTACAAGTAACCTTCAAAAACAAAAACAAGAACAAAAACAAAACAAATAATCAAACAAAAAAGAAAATGATATCTAATCTGTAGTAAAAAAAATTGTGTTTTCTACTATACCATCTGATGGCGCAACAAGTATCAAACGGACGCCTACATGTAGCTATATTCCATGATTAGCCATTCTGCTATCCCAGAGTTACTTCCCTTCGTTTCACCCTGTCAAATGCAACAAGCTTAACATCCGATGGGGTCGAGAATGATGACAAGTGGGCGAGGTTTGCTCTCTGCCCCTACATTGTGTACACTCCGGACGATGTTTACTCTCTATTCCTGAGTTTCTCTTGATATGCATTGATGTGTTTGGGCAACAGCACAACATTTGTTTTCTGTGGTCGGAAATCATTCTCATTTGGGTAGAAAATGACAGGTATCGTATTGTGTTATTTTGAAGACATTCAAGCTTTACCTCGAGTTAAATGGAGTTAAATGTTAACTTTGTATCAATGACTGACTAGTGGATTAAAGCAACAAAAAACATGAGGCTCGCTATGGGTGATAAACCCGGTTTCTCAGTTCATTGGTAACCAAAGTCAACTGATGACAAGTTCGATCTTACACGGGTTTGTTACCAAATGGAGTAGTCTTTTAACATATTCAATTCTGAAGCAAAATTATAAGCAATCTAACAGCAATGGAAGTATACAATAGAAGGTGTTATACGTCACTAAAAGGAGTTTACTGCATAAGATAGTTCAGTTATAATTCTTTTGTAGGCCCAAATACCAGTGATTTGTTTTTCAAAGTATATATGTAATTTAAAAAACCCACTTATTTACAGTACTCAAAGGTATCAATCCGGCATGTCTTACCAGAAACACACTGCTATAGCGCCAGCGTTTTTTCCATCTCTTTCTCTGTTCATCCAATGGAATTGTCCGTAAATTCCTGTCACTGGTGTATCTTACCAACCCACCTACACAAAGTATCATCGAAAACGCCGTAGTATACCTTAGTAAAGTCATCAACATTATGAACACTTTAAACACCAGGGAATTATACCGTTGTCACTGTGTAATGGTGGTGTATTCAAGTACGGGGGTCTACACAGGCCGGACAATAGTATCACGTGAATACCGACCATGGCCCATTGATATCAATGGTGATTATATACCAGAATGCTTCATTAAAAGACATACAAGATTTCAGATGAGATTAGTTCACAATCAATGGTGAAACGACGTGTATGTTGCACATATTGAGATTTCAGAATGTAGTGATTCAATTAAGGGAGATCTAATGGAATCCTACCATACTATTACCGAGAGTAAGCCTCGACTTGCCAAATAAGTCGAACAAAATGGTGTAGCTGAGATGGACGAAAGGAAATACCGATGGTGTGTGGTCAACTTGCTGTTACTTCTTGCGGTTGATGGTGAGTGATTGGAAGTTGTGTAATATAACACTGAAAAATACTTCAGTATCATCTCGTCATACTGGAACCCTTAATATTCAATACTTCCGCTTATAATGATAAGAATATTCAGAAACCTTGTCTTTACTATTCCACATTACCAATGGTATAAGATTATTGTTTAATCATGATTAGATCGAACTGTTTTTTTCTGCTTTTTTCAGGTATTGTTTGTGGAAATTCAACAGAAGATTCTACGGTAACGTGTGTCTTAGATTTATGTATATTCCTATCTATTACATCTATATAATCTGGTTTAATGTCCTGTTCCTCTATCAGGAACACATCTTTCACAAAATTATAATTATTGTAATTACTTTATGTAAGGTTTGTGTCGGTACGTTGTATGTTTACCGGTATAAAAATAGATTTTAAGTATCAAATAAACGTTTGATTAAGGACCGATACCACCAATCCGTGTGTAATTTAATTTATATTCTGTAGCGATACACAGTGTTAGTCCATGATAATATCGTACTTGTATGACAAGTTACAATTAGTACCAGTTTCATACTAAAATTATAAAATTCAATGTGTGTCGCCATGCATAACTATTATTTTAATCTGCAAATGTATATGACAACATATTAGTTGTTATAAATATGTCAGCACATGGTGTCTAATGAACGCGAGGAGTTGTATATTTTCCTGTACAGCTCAGAATTAATTTTAAACTATTGTATTGAACAGATAATTTTGTTTAACAAAGGTCGTTATGTCTAGATTTAACCTTTCCGTCAGACGACGAATAAAAAACGACCCATTAAAACATGTAGGTTTGAATTAAATGTCAGTCTTTCTTATAACACGATGGAAGATACTGACTGAAAATATAATGATTTGACTCATACAGTAGTGCAGAGTGATGAATATTACTTAGATTCACTTGTGTGGGTAAGGAGTCAAATGTCGTCCAAAGTGCATTGTGTAAACTCCTATTTTCTCCATGGGTTATAATATTCGGGGTATCTATTACAGTAAGCACATTTTAAGCTGTGAGGAGATAGCACAAAGCAAGTGATTAGCACCTTTATATACAAATTTAGAAGGATTTTTATTAGAACCAGTTATACATAAAATTCATTGGATTTTCGTGCACCTGTCTATCTGGTTTTTAACTTGGTTTGGACTCGTTTGGATTTTACTCGGTTGCCTCCTAGGTTTCCATACTTTTGACCCTTACTATCACTGACGAAGCCTAGAACAACGAAACAGAGGTATGATGCATTATAATTCATAAATAAATACATGTATGCCATATCTGTATTTAAACATATTATTGTGCACGTCTGTTTTACAATCTTTGAATGAACTAATTACGAACAAGCCTGATAGCAAGAATGAAATAAAAAAAGATAGAATGAAGGAGTCACGAATCAGGGTACAAATAACTGTGTTACAGTCAATGAGATAGGGAATCTGTTTAGGTAGCAGTTTATTTGCATTTTGCCTGAAATTATGAGATATTCAGGTATAGCAGATAGGTTAGGAAATCTACACCCTTACATGTATATAAATTTATTACATTGATGATAGAGAAATAAAAATGGTGTAAGTCGAAAATTTCCCCTGATTTCTGACATGTGATTGCCATAGCTACCTACTCAAAAAATGCAAAAAATGTCCTAAAATAATAATAATGATAAAAAAAACCTCCTACTAATTCCAGCATTACACTACAACTTTATAGAAGGAATTTATTTCTGAACATCTGTCTTAAAATTAAAATCGTACAACACAGTCATGGTAACCCATTACTTACATTTCTGCCAATTCTAACTCGGAAATCACAACATGACCACAGGTAAACACTATGAAAATTTCACTTCCTGTAAAGCTAGTTTTTGGTGTGTAGACACAGATTTGAGACTGCCCAAATAATAATCTCCAACCCGATGCAAAAATATCCTGAAAATATGAAACCCATGTTGTCCACTTTAACATGAAAAGACCAATATTAGCAATGAGTCATTTTTAAAGTTTTAAATATAACATTTATAATGTTGTAATCTAACAAAGAAACAAAAATTACCCATGGCCACACCTATTAAATGTGTACTGCTACAGAGTAAACAAACCTGCCATCAGCTGCTAACGGATATCTGGTGTTATCTGTCGTCGTATGATAAAAGTCTGTTTTGGAGAACTACTCATACGGTACAAAGATTTCAATGACAGATTAAAGATGACTGCGCCATCTTGATAATTTTACCCTCATCATTGGATGAATCTTGCTTTAAACTATTCTGAATCAAACAAAATACAAATGTGATAGTTCCCTGTATGTTTAAAGTTCAAAATACCTATATGATACAATAGGTATGGATTTACAGTGTATTTCCATGTTGATACTTAGATAATTAGATACAACACGTGTGTATTTATATATGAATTAAGTAATTGATAAGATTTTAAATATAAAACCGCGTTATTCCTCTGTATCACTCTTCTATAGCTGCAGTGTAGGAAATACAGAAATAAAGTTAATGAAGTTGAAATCGGATGGTAAAGTGGTTTTTTACTCGTGCGCCGACAACTTTCAAGCGTGTGTTATTTCTTTTTAGATACAAATGAACACCCCTAACAAAGGCTGAATAAAAGATATCAATTAGTGATAATATTACGATGTCAATATCAGTCTTTGTGTTCTGCAGGAAAGCTTCTTCACCAGCAACCGATTCATTGGTATCACCGCCGGACTGGGCACTTTTCTGTTTATCGGTATATATCTATACACATTATGGAAGTGTACATGTGGCAGTCCTGATGATGAAACAGTCGACAAAAGGAACCAAGTAGGTAGACATCAACAGAACCAGATAGAAGAAACTAGAACATGACCAACAACAAATGTCAGGCATGGTATCGAATATGTACCGTGAAGATATTCCAAACACAATCAGATTATTTGGAACATATATACGATATATCCAAGAAATGGTCACATCAACTTGTACATGTACGGTTAAAGTATCACAGGTGTACTGGTACGCCTTAAAATGACACCATTATATGATCGTCATTTGTTATAATACTCTAATATTCTAAAAACGAGCAAATTAATAGGTACCATTTGAATTTGCGACAATATCCGGCTTTCATAACACAGTCAGATGGACGGGTACCGTTTACTATTCTACATAAAGCTGAGGAATTACGAACATGTTGTAAACCATTTCAATACAATGTATTGCTATGCCACTAGTGGTTTATTAAGTATCTTTTTTCCTATGCCCTGTAAAGAATGGAAGATAACAACACGTTTATGTGAAGTAAAGAGAAGCGACCTCAGGATTCGAGGACTTTTCCAGTATATCTTAATAGAGTGTTTATTTCGGTGATACCTTATATTGATCTGTATGCGGTACATCTCTTATTTGTTTTAATATTCACTTGTTAAAGTTAGTTAGTTAATTTTAGATATTGTGTTGAATTTGTAATAAAAGTTGTTATAATGCAAACAGATTTCTCTTTATTCTGTAGGGTGCCCTTTAAATATCTACATTTTCAAGACATCAAATTGGAATGTACCAATCATACCATGCAAAAATATTTGAAATAAAGGGGATATTTAACTGTTATATTTTATAAAATATTCGTTGCAGGCGAAATTCTGCTGTCATTTATATATGACCTTGTACCATATTTCTCATATGTATATAGTAACAAAGGGATATGTCTTAGAAGTTGGAATCCAAAATGTAATGCCTACGGAAACCTATTAAACCATTCCGGGTTTGTTAATAACCTTTTTCCAATCAAAATAATAGTAATAAAAGGACATATGAAACAGGTAAGGATGATAGGATGTCACCTAAGGCAGTATAGGCCTGCCTATTTCGTGAATAGGAATAACCGAGTTGTCTCCCTTATGCTTCTTTCATTTCAAATATTGTGTTTGCTAAAATATGCCATGTTTGATGTCTAGTTACAAAAGGAAAATTAATTAAATAATATGTGAATATCACTTCAATCAAACCGTTGTAGGTTTTAATCACATGAGACACATTATTTTAATTCATGGAAGCAGCATGCCAGTAAATACTTCATTTTGTTTCGATACCTTATTCGTATAAATGTATTTCGTTTAATCTTGACGTTTCAGATTTAGTGTGGATTCGTGTTCTTTGATTCAATTTTGAGATTTATTTGGTGGTCTTTTTTAAATGGAGCTGTTATCTTGAATTTTCATGTGCGTTTTTTAGTGTGGTAATCAGCTCTTGATTTAGGAGGTGTGGAAAGGGCTTTTCTCTATTTATATTCTGTAGCGTGTGTTTTGCAGTTTTCTTTAGAATGTTGATTTTATGTTGTTTTGAACTGATGTTTGGTTTCCTCTTGGATTTGGATGTGTATTGTCTGGTGTATTATAAGTATACCTGCACCTTAGAATTTCTATTGAAGCAATAGCAATATGGTACAAGCACATGTATCAACCTTGCTAACCGACGCATACAACCTTATATTTTTCAAATAATAACATGAATAATCTTGTCAGGACAACTGTCTGATTAACAACCACAAAATATTAAATAAACAACAATGATAATAGATGTGTGTTTAATACTGAAATATTGAACGTATAACAGATACAGCATATATATTTTAATCACGAAATGATGATGGTTTAACGACAATAAGTTCATTAATTCATTACATAAAGAAAACAAAACGTTGAATGTATATTTTTGGAATTTACTTTAGGTGGACGAGAAAGTTATAAACAACTGTTAATTGTAATTTCATTGTACCTATGTTGAAATGTCGAGGATTTGAACCCACCACACATGTAAAGCGCATACTTTCACAGATCGTGTCGATGTTCCTCAGGATAAATTTCAGACCATATGAATGGCGCGGCTTTTCCATTTCAGTAGTAAGACTTTGAAGCACTTATGGCAGAATTCGTTTACGTTTCACATGTTCAAACCAGAAATCATCACGGAGTAACATTGAATTAATGAATTAAAATCTGAGGGGTCTTAGTGAATAGAACTACCAGAAAAATAAAGTCAAACACTTTCAATACTATTACAAGGGGAACCATATACTTTCATTAATTTCTAAAATATTATTAAATGATGTCATAAACATACTGAGTATGACATCAAAGGATTTTTCATTTGGAAAAATGGTTCTATAAAGTTTTATATTTGTGACTTATCACTCTATTTATTTCGTATTTAAAATGATTGTTCTTACTGTACATGAACAGACAAGTACCTAACCCCAACACTTTTAAACAAATTTACTACGTAGTAATCTTATTAATAATTCCCACTTCATTGATATCGTTACCAGCCCAATGTGACTCCTCTTCCAGCTCTTCTAAATATCTTTTGCCACTCTTCCCCCGATGTGACTTCACGGGTGAGTCTCTGGTGGAAGAAGGTGGCGTACGCACAACCATGTATTCGTCTAAATCTCTGTGAAGAGCGATGTCCGAGTATTTTCCACTGACATGTGACCTACGGGTCTTTTGCCCGTTAGATTCAAACATCATTTCTAAAAGGAGTTGCTCCGATGATGCACCTCGCGGCAAATTTTCAAGGACTTTCTCTGAATCAGACATGGTCTCATTTGACATATTTGCTATTTTCTGAACTGATTTCATATCTAAATTTTGTGTTCTGACAGCGACCTGTCTTTCCCTGTGTTTCAGGAGTCTATAGGGGTTATTGAAGTAACGTATTCCTTTCTTAGCAAACGATTTATTGTTTTTAGGGAAGTCACTACCGTTATCTGCAGCAATTGTTACCTCCTGGGGGTCATTATTGATATGTAAGAAAGCTGACCCGCTTTGATTAGGTTGGCTTGTTTGATTAGGAGTGGAAGACGTTCCATCAGTTTCCCTCTTGTCTTCTTTCGACATTCTTGAATTATTCTTCGAAATTACGAAATCTCCACTGACGGTGGAAGAAAGGCCAAGACTTAGGCCGTTGACAGGTTTGAAACTTCTTCCTTTTAATTCAAAAGAAGATTTCGATTTATCCACTGTGGACGGTCTCATGGCCGGAAGTGTTACGCTCTCACTAGCAGAGGAGGGAACGGAAATGAAAGATGATGAATGTATACTTCTGGTGTCTTTGAAATCAGTTTTTGCAGACGAATTGTCACCATTTTGTTTTTCTGTTGTTTTCCATGTAGGTTCACTACGAGCTCTGGTTCTAATATTATGGCGCGCCCGATATATCTCATGCGCCGATGTTTTAAAGCTCCCCACTCGTTGGTCACTAAAGTACTTAACGAATGACTTTGGGGAATAACCATTTAGCGGCTGTCCACAAAGAACAAATTTAGGTCGGTCGTCAACAACGGTCCCTTCACTAGTTATATATGGAGAATCCATTGTTGATATTCCAAAATTGGCGTGCTGAATTCTGTTTAGGAAGTCCATACGTCTGGTGATATGACTAGGTCCGGCTGGCATCTGCTCCAACGCTTTCCTGTTCGCCTTGCGCAAGATAAACTCATACGACCTGTCAACAGCTGCCACAGTTGGATTTGTCGCTCTGTTTGCTTTTGACATTGACAACAACGGTGACGTCGGTGTGTTCCGGGGAGCTGGAGTCCCCTTCACTTTCAATCTATCAACCGTGCCTTGTTTCTTCATCTTTCTGTCTGGTTGCATGCCTAAGTAAATTGTCATCTACCGTAACTCTGCCTGTAATGTACAATTACACAATAACTTCAAAAGAAGAAACTATTCCAAATAATATCGCGAAAAGATCTATTAATTACTTTTGAATAGTCTTTATAGTTTACCGAATATCAAAATTTATAATCATAATCCGATGATACAAAATTTTATGAATGATAAAAATACATTTGGTTGATCATAAGTATACCGATAGGCGTGGTTGAAAGTATCGTTTTGCCTGTAATCAGTTTCTTTCGAATAAAACATCACACAATTGAAAAACACCCTTAGTCAACACATATAGCATGTGAAAATATCAAAAGATGACTTCACTCGAAGAAATGATGCTTTGTCAACATTTTTTTTATGACAGACAATGCGAAGTTAAATCACCAGGCAGACTGTTGGATTTCCTTCCAGAACTTGAGAGAATGTTGTATTTCTGCATGTGTCTTCCCGTTAACTTCTATGAAGCTAATTTAGAATTTACATAAAAGAAGCACTGAATATTCTATTTGTAATAGTGAGGAAACTCACTCTTACGTCAGCCCACAGATCTTGTACATTGAGGCGTTCCCATACAGCACAACAGTCATTTACATATTAAATCTGGTGCAGCGAGATCCATTAAAATCAGATGGGGTCAACGGAGGTGCAGGTGTATGAATTATACTGGTTAAATAAGAGAGTAGAATGAACAGGTATTAAAGTGAAATTAAAACCTGTATATTAATCCAATAAATGTAATAAAACTGTATCGATTTCCTTTGTAGATATCAATCTTTGATAGCTAGAAGCCCCGTATATTGTATATACAATTCTTAATCCAGTAAATCTCTCGTTCGGCTTCCCAAACTGATGATCTGCAAGTGTTAACTTGGCGAGTAACGAAACCATTCTTTTAACACTAAAATATTCTTTGGACTTGATTTCCTCATAAATGTAAATAAATTGAAGGGATTTCTGTAAACAGGTTTCTACTATTATACGATATGTCAACAAATCGTAAGATATATGATCTGTTTTAGAGAAGATTAAGTTGACGGCAGTGTTTGATCCACGGTAGGTACTACACCCAGTACAAGCCTATACGTTTGTTATTGCCGCCCATAACGACCGACATTATAATCAGGTTGCTTTAATTCAATTTCTAAACGGTAAGTACTCTCCGACACAATGCCAATGTTTATTGTGCATAACAGCTAACGTATATGTGTAGCATGACACTCTGTTAAACAGTATAAAACTCTTGTAATGATATCAATACCATTACTGGAAACCATAGCATCTATCTCATCATCTCATAGTGGGATATTTATGTTCAATATTTGCAAGTGGCGTTTGAACCCGAACGAGCTTAGACGACAATAGTTTCAATTTGTCTAACTATAGCATATTGACATGTACAAGGAATATCTATCCAAGGATTTACGAGGAAAGTTTATTTTCAACAGTGAAATGTCAGAAATTTTCAATTTACAACAGAAAAAGGTACCATATTGCCTGAAACATTTATTTTATAAACCATACTAGGTTGTCAAGTTATAGAAGGATCCAGTTGTTTACCATTAAAGATCCTCGCAACATGTTTTTTTACAATTTAAAGTTGAGTAGGCTCAATAAGATTTCAATGAAAATATCTTTAAAATCTTTAACTCGTATAGCAATGATCATAATCAAAATAGTTTTCACATGTTTCAAACTTAAAACTAGTTTACAGTTTCGAAAGGTAATTGTTGACGGACCATTTAAAACGTCTGAAAGATCTCGCTGTTGATATGAACAGAATTGCTGACAGAAACAGTCAAAGTTTCTGTTTTATATAAACGTGTGCAATGTCTCTCTTCTGTTTTCATCAACAACTGACCAATTTGATTTGAAAATGAACTATTTCTTTTATCAACGCATCAGGTTTTGTAAACAAATGAAGTTTAATTAGGTACAATGTGCATTTGTAAATGAAACATCAACATTCGCTTAAAGGAAATAAATATGGGGCCTTACTAAGAGTTTGCACAGTTAACGGAGTAACCAGACGTGTGTATGTTATGTTTCAGTCTCAGAAGACTTAAACTCGAAAGAATGAAAATGGTCCTGAAATGCTAGTCGCTGCTTTCGAAGGTTGCATATGTTTATCTATTAGTATGATGTAAATAAAAGCAATCAATCAATTACGCTAGTCTTATAACTATATTGAAATATATCATAATTGTTAAAGCCTGCAGACCGCCCCTACCCTTCCCAAAGCTCTCTCCACCAACCCGTCCTTCGTCACCATCACTTGCAGGAAGATGCTCAGTTAGTTGGTTATACATTTAAAGGGTGTTATGATCTGTACACAAAGAGTACACATGTAGACGTATCATACCATTTTAAACATACCAAAAACAAAACATTTGCGTCAGTTGTAATATGATAGTGCTGTCATACATACGTTTATCGACATAGGCGTTGAATTACAAACAAAACTTATTTTGTTTATCCTCTACTGTGTTGTTCCATATTATATCTTTTCTTCAGCATGCTCTTCTCCGCTCGTTCGTAACAATAGTGCTATCATGTGTGTTTGGATACAGTTTTATACCTATTTGTTTATTATTTGTAATATCCCTATCCCTGTAATGGTCTGCAAGTCAAAGGATTGCAGTCAAAGACACAGGCGTCAAGTCTGTAATAAAAGTAAGTCCGTACACCGATATAAAGTTAATGGATAGTTTAAATGGTAACTTAACTGCATATAAGTACCAACTCAATATATAATTGAAAATGCATTCTTTCAAAATTAGCATACATATTGATATAGCGATTTATTGTGAAGTGTTTTAAAACTAGGAAGTAATGCAGATTAGCCAATGGAATACAATAGCAAAGTCATATACCTCGCCAGGCCAGAAATTTGCTGGGAACAAATGATGAGTGTGAAACAAACGAATCGGAAAGTGACACATTCCATATCAAGGTTTTTTTAGGACAAAGTAATAATGTTATCGTAAATTACAGGTCATGACCAAAGTGATGTTGCACCAATCCTTGTTGTGCTATGACCTCCTGATGTATTGTACAATGTAATATTTTTAATAACATCGACAGTTTGGGTTTCCAGCAAAACGATAGTAAACACTCTCCTTAGAGGGACTATTTGGTTAGATATTCATGTCATAACATTTAAATATCTATTTAAAATTGTATGTTTTCTGTTAATTAAGATATTTTAAAGTTTCCACAACTATTTTATTAACAACGTCAAAAAAATTAAAATAAAATAGGAGCGACCCAACACTAATTCATATCATTATCGTTCGGAGAATGTAAACAATGTCTTTGCGCATGCAAATTTAGATTCAGATTAATTCAGATACATTCATTTCGCTCTGCCAAGCGTAAAGCATGAAACAAGTAAGAATCGAAATATGGCTGGCAAATTATGTTTTGACTAATTACATAATTATACATAGTAAGAATTAATATTAAAACGGGGAGTTAAAACGAGGCTCCTAAAGGTCATATAAATGAACTCTCGATCAAATCAGCAATGGATGGCAGACACAACAGCGAGTGTCGACTAGCGTTAGTTTGAAGCTGATAATCGTTATCAATTTTTCTCAGAGTGTGTTATAATTTTGTTAAGAGACTAATTTTAAGTATTACAATGCTTGCCCAAAATTCAAACGCATAGGGAAAAATAAAAAATCTAACCTTTTAGTCCCTTTAACACTGTTACAGATATACAAAAAACTAAGCTGGAAACCCGAATTTATGGCGACAAAACAACACAATCTCGGCTTTATAGAATAGCCGTCCTGCATTTTTAAAGCCCCAAGAACGCTCCAAGGGAGAGGCTTAGTATAGACAGAGCCTGTTGCCTAATTTCCGTTTAATCGTATGATTAAATGTAAGATTTTGAATTAAGACGAAATGCACGATTCTACTTTACATTTTTTGTTTCATCTGACTATGAATGACCCCGAGTTGGCGTGTCATATCTTTATGTTCCAATTGATTAAGCAGAACGATGAACCAAAAGTCTATATAAAAGGGTCAAATGCCGATAAGAAACAGCAGAACACATACACGAAACAAGCGGAAACAAACAGGGTGAAGGTCATACACGATTATAATGGAGAAGCGTGAAGCTTGTATAAACCATCTAGGTAACGCCTTATATGGTATAGCACGAAGCTGAACTCATCGAAGAACTTGTCAAAACAGGTCATAAAGACAAGAGAACCAACCTTCCATAAACCAGTAAATAAAGGTTCAAAACTGATTTCTATTTTCCGATTGTGATCATAATCATAATCCAAACTCAAATTCAATCAAACTGGGGAAAGTATGAACAGAAAAAACGACAGGCTCCTGAAAATGTACAAGGAAAAAGAGATCATGTGCTCCGGAAGAGTAAGCGTCTTCTGCTTAATCGATGAACCCAGCCATGTAAACTTTGGCCAATCGAAGTAAGTAGCGTCATGTTATTAAATGAGAACAAGGTGTACAACAACGGAACCAGCAGGCAAACTAACGAACATCTCACAGGTTGAGATTCATACCGAACAACGAAATAAAAACAAAATCGAAATGAGAAACGTCCCAATAAATTTGCCCCTTTAAAACCCTATGATACGATTTTGTCCTTCAGTTAACGATATCTTGCATGAAAATTGTGATAATGGGAACATTCTCTTAAACATCGAATCAGTTGCGAAATCATAACGTTTAGCATACAGCTTGGTGGAAAATTATCTTTGCTGGTTTCGTTGTAGGAAAAGTTAGTAGCTGATATCCTTCGAAAGATGTCGGCAGTTGACTGATTTATAATACCCTCATGTTACGTCATCTAATTACATGTGTACCATTCATCCATGCTATGTGTCATTGTGTCAAAATAGTTAGTTGGAAACAATTTGTTACCCTGTTATAATAGCATATTTTCTACCCTCCTGATAGTGTAATCTGCGTATCAGTTAAAACGATTGAGAAACTGAGTATATAAG